TGGTACCGAGACCATTTAGACACAGAGTTAAATGAGTCTGCTTTACAGCCTTAGCTAACAGCCAGCTGGCTTGTAGCTCATGCAGTAGAGGCTCATGCACTAAGCTCCAGAGGCCCACCAATAACCGGGATCTGTCCGTGTTACACTTAGAAGTTTAGATCCTTCATGTGTGCCCATAACTTTATTTAACACTTCCTTCTTCATAGTCAGCATCACCATGGTAGCTGAGGCGGCCACTCCATTCAGCCAGTCTGCATAAGCAGATTCATCTCCTCTGAAGGACTCTATCAGAATAGAATTCACTGTCATTTTCCGCCTTGCTGGATAAGGATAGCTCCCAGAAGACATTTACTTTCTTTTTCTTGTACCAGTGTAGCTTCCTTGTTACATTACAATCATTATTTTTGAAGGCCTTGTTCATTCTTACTCTTAAACGCTAAATGCCAAGAGCACAGGTTTTGTTAGACTTCTAAATAAATGTAAACATTTTAACATTACTTTCTTTACCTTCCAGGTGTCTCTTTAGTTTTTTGTCTGCCCCCCACCACCCTGTTATTGCACTATCTGCACACCACAATTTTTAATGTGTTTATCACATTATAATAGCCATGTGAGGAAGGCCCGCGCTATGCCCTCTGCTTTACAGATGTATATAAACAGTTAGTTTGCAGCAAGCCAGGTTGCAAGTCTCCCTCCAACTAGCTGTCTAGCTGGGCCCTGCTGCCATGCACTGAAAGGTCCCTACGGCACATTGATCTATCCCACTTTAGTTAGGTTCAATTGAAATGTTTCATTGTGACATTTTCAAAATGGTTCATTTCTATGTCAACCTTATTCCTTTTTTTGATCCTAAAAGCAGCTTATCTTGTGATCCAAAAAGCTATTCCAAGCTGAAAAACGAATTTTTTGTTTACCTGCAGCTCTGACCGCAATTACCAAAGACATCAGGACCACAGCTGCCTGGTGGAGCTGGGGTGGGTGGAGCAGGACAGGAAACTCATGCTCAATTGGGCCCAAGCACCTGAGCCCTGCACCCTTTTTGCCAGCTGTTTCAACAGGCAGCAGAGGGTGCTACAAGCTCTGCAGCCCAGGGCTCCTCCCCGACCACATCCCAGCTGGGCCCCTTCTCTTTCCCTCTCCCCAGTCCCTGTTGCCGTCAGTCCTGCAGCACCAAGCTGAGAGATGTAGCTTCTTTCCAGCTGACCCCACCCTGGCTGCCACCACTGCTGAGCCCCAAGGGGTCAGGGCAGGCTGCTCCCTCCCCTCCTTCCCCCAGAGGAGACTCCTCTAGACCGGGGAGGAGAGGGGCTGGGGGGACGCAGGAGAAGGGTACCCCACCATGTGGGATGGGCAGGGGGGTGAGTTAAGGGGAGGTGGGAGCTCTCACATGTGTACTGACTGCCCTCAGAAGTCTGGTGCTTGTAAATGCAGCAGTTGGCGCGCGGGCAGAGGGGCATGGCCTGTGGTCGGAAGAGGTGGCAGCACAGGCCTCGCGTCCACCACTTTGTTACTCCCAGCCCCTGGTGACTAGGGAAACTCAGCCCTCACCGCTGACCAAGTTTGCCCCCGGTCGCAGGGCTCATAAGTAACCTCCCTCCCACTTGGGATCTGTGGCAATGGCCTTCGCCTAACTTATGGTTGCCATCTTTCTACTTTCACAAAACCAAATACCCTTGCCCCCCGCCCGCCCCGCCCCTCCTCCAAGGCCCTTTCTCCGAGGCACGCCCCCCCCATTCACTCCATCCCCCTCTCCGTCTGCCGCTTGCTCTCCCCACCCTCACTCACTCACACTCATTTTCACCAGGATGGCTCAGGGGATTGGGGCTGGGGGGTTCAGAGTATGGGAGGGGACTCTGGGCTGGGGCAAGGGGTTCAGGTGCAGGGGGGGATGCTCCAGCTGGGGGTGCAGAACCTTGGATGGGGCTGAGGATGAGGGGTTTGGAGGGTGGGAGGGGGATCAGGGGTGTAGGGTCCAGGTGGCACTTACCTCAGGCAGCTCCCAGAAGCAGCGGCATGTCCCCCCTCCGGCTCCTATGCAGAACCATGGCCAGGCAGCTCTGCACACTGCCCGGTCTGCAGGCGCCGCCCCCCGCAGCTCCCATTGGCTGTGATTCCCGACCAATGCGAACTGCAGAGCCAGCACTTGGAGCGGGGGCAGCACGCAGAGCCCTCTGGCTGCCCTTACACATAGGAGCCAGAGGGGGGACATGTCACTGCTTCCAGGAGCCAGCACTGTCCCAATCACCCTGTTTTCTCCACAGAAGAACAACACTTATCATTGAGTGAAAGCATGGCCCAGTGGTTAGGACAGTGGGCTAGGTCTCAGGAGACCTGTGTTCCGCTCCTTGTTCTACCACCAACTTCCTGCATGACCTTGGACAAGTCACTTAGCCTGGTTGTGCCTCAGTTTCCCCATCTGTAAAATGAGGCTAATAGAACTGCCCTTCAGGTTCTCAGGTACTAGGGTAATGGGGGGAGGGCATTCAAGCCCCACAGAGAGGTGATATTTATGTGGCTAGCTTTATTTAACACACCTGGCCATGCCTGAAGATGGCCACAGCACCCACAACAGGCCAGCTTCTCAGGCCCTCAGCTCCTATTCAGACACCTATAAGGGGCAGATTTTCAGGGCCTCTGTACAGGTGATGGGTGGGTATCAGCTTTGGCATCAGCCACGTACCTGTGCCATCTAGTGGCAGAGCGAAAATACAGCGCTACTGCTGGGGGCGGAGAGTGAAGGGATTACAGAGCAGGGAGTGAGGGGAAAAGAAAGAGGGATGACTGCAAAGATTAGAAGGGGCAAGAGTGAGCCAGAAGGGAGGCGAGGGTAATGTTAATATAAAGGCAATAATAGGCCACCCAGAATGATAGATTCCACTTGCTTTTCCCAGCTGTGACATAACTGTACCTTTCTATTGTACATGTCTGTGTCCAGTTCCAAAGCATCAGCCTGGCCGTCCACATGGGTGTTTGCCAGAAGGCTGCTATAAAGAATGCACTATATTACGACTGCCTCATGGAAGAAAGCTTTGCCTTGGGGAGGGAAGTGAGGCGTGTATCAGCAAGGAGCAGCTCCCTCGGTCTCGAGGTGCCTAACGCCACACTACAGCAGCTGCTTGGGGTAATGCAGGGAGATATGTGCCTTGACGGACTCACCAACACTACTTGCCAGAGACCCGGCGTATTCCATGGCGGGCTCCGTGCCAGCTACGGGCCAAGCCTGACCTTCCATAGTTTGTGAGCTCTCAGCAAATCCCAGCTCAAGCTGGTCAGGCTGCCAGCACAAATCACAAGGCCCCAGACTAGCAATCTAGGACCTTGATTTGACAGCTCCAGCCCCTCTGATCTCTCCCAGCCTTGCTGTTTGATATAATTCACCAACAGCCCAGCCAGTCCCAGCACAAGCTGCCTGAGATTTGTTCCTTTGCAGATTCCAAAAGCTAAGGAGGACAACAGAGAGATCTGACACTAAAGCAGCAGTCACACCTTTAAATACCCCCTGGTGCTTTGGGAGCAGGGTACCAGGACAGTTATTCCCTACAACACCCAGCTGGATGGAGGCTGGAGAAAATGGAGGGGGGAAATAGTAGGGAGCTTTGGGATGAAGGTGCGTGGTGTTGTGAAAGGGAATGAACATTAATGCAAACTCTGCTAACCCAGCATGGCTCTTTGCCCCCATTAGTGGCTAAACCATACAGAGAAATTAATGAACCTGCTACTGCCTCCAAGCTAATAGAGTTTAGTCAGTGGCAGCTCATGCTTTTAAAGCCCGCAGTCCAAGGTTTGATCCCCACAAGTGACCAGAATAAGGGCATTATTGTGTCCTGGCCCATTCAGCATGTGTCTGTGTAGCAATGATGTCTCTGGGTGGGTTATTGGCACAGGGATTGAACCTGGGACCGCTGGATTTTAATATATGAGCCTCTACTGCCTGAGCTAAAAGAGACCCCTTGATTCCCCAAACGAGGAGCAGGCTCATCAGCTTCTAGCTGGCCTAGCCACAACTAGAGGGGGGTTGACTGCCACCCCAAGCAGGCATTGCTTACACCTCTTTGTGTATTATCATCATGCCTGCCTGCTTTTTCACCACCCTCCATTCCAAAATAAATCTAAGAGTGAAGTGCATGGCTCTGCTTCCATCACTGTCCCCAGTACCAAGCCCCAAGTCTCACTGACTTCCCAAGGCTGGAAATCGATCCCCTGTAGGCGTCTCAAGTCATGACTCTCAGAATCAGTGGCCATTTTTGAAAGTGTTGGCGCAAGGTCAGACAGTCCATAGCACTGTCGGGAATGAAACCCAGGTCTCCTTGTTACCCACCTGTGCTTTAATCACAAGGACATGGTTCCTAAGACATGTGGGACCAGGCTTTCCAGAGATCTCAGTGCCAAGCTGTCTAGTGCTGAGCACAGATCAGTAGGCCCAAATTTTCAAAAGAGCTGAGCTCCCTTTAGGCACCTAAATAGGGACCAGATTTTCCAAAGAGCCCAGCAACCAATGTGCAGAAAATCTGGCCCTGTGAGGGGGTATTTGAAAGTCTGGCCCCTGCAGCCTGTTCTTGACTGGGGGACTAGGGGGAGGAAGAAGCTCTGACCCCAAGCTGGAGAATGTGGGGAAGCAGAGACTGGGAAGTCCACAAGTATAGACCAGCCCTTCTCCGAAGTCTCCTGCAGAACCTCTGTCCGAGCCTGAAAGTTGTGGTGCCAAAAGAAACTGCTTCCACCCCTCCATGCCCAGCAGTCCCATGCTGCGCATGCTCGGATCTCAATGAGAACTCTCCTGACGAACTTCCTTTGGGTTAATTCTGTCCCTTCTTACACAGAACTATCTGCCCAGGTGGGCCTGATCTTGTGAGGTGCTGGGGCCCTCCCCGCCTACTGACTTCAGTGAAAGGTGCTGCTCATGCTCAGCACCTTCCATGATCGGAGACCGTCAGCACAAGCAGAGCCCTGGGGAGCAGAAAGGAGATCTCCCAGAGGGCATTCAATACAGCACCCGAGAGTAGTAAACGTGGGTTTTATTTAAAAACATGACATTGCAAAATAAACTACTAGCACTAACTTCATACAGTTCATCTATCTGTGTCCATGCTGGCCTGTGTGTGAGGGGGAGGGAATAGATCTCTGAGCAGAGACTATAAATTTCTTTGATGCTAATGCCATGACTGGTCCCCCTCCCTCCTCTGGTCCCCCTGCCAGGCCAGGCATAGCATACATGGCATGAGATAGAATACATTGGACTGAAGCAAGCTCTTTCACAGACACAGGGGGTGGACAGGAATTTCTGGAGCAGTGGACAGGGCTCTCACTCCTTGTCCCCCTCCCCCAGCCTATACACACGGCTTTAGCAGCTGTAACAGCTTTACCCCAAGTAGAATTTTTCCCACTTGCCATTCCTGCATGTTCAAAGTCTTCCAAGAGGCTAGATGCTCTTGGGGCAGCCCAGGGGTTCCTCCTCACAGGCCAGACCCCTCTTCTATTTCTCCTTTAGAAAACAAAAATAAATCCCCTTTTCTTTGGGGATGAGTGACGCTCTGCTGGAGAACACCTTGCTCTCAGATCTCAAATAGGTCTCTTCACGAGTTCTCGCCCACCGGCTCTTCTTTTCCACGTGTCCTGGGAAATCCACACTGGAAAGCCCAGTTTGTTCTCCATTCCCCTCCTTGGAAGTGCAACGATGTCTGGCCATGGTCTGCATAGCTGGGTTACAGAGCAATTTGCATAGTGGAGCTCAGACGCTAATAAGGAGTTGTTTTCTTACAAAATAACATGAAAAGGCTAAGTACTGGTAGTAAATATGGATAGGCTAGGAAGGGTGCGCTCAGGGGTCCGTTTGCAGGTCAGGGCTAGACCAGGCCAGCTGCCTTATCTTGCACGTTGTATTCCTTGTTCTTCTTCACCCGCCAGTTGATGATGACTAGCAGCAGAATGCCAAGGAGTTTGTACCCCATCTGGAGGCCTATGTATCTGTCAAGAGAAAGAAATAGAGAAAAAGAGAGGTGTGAAACTACCAGGGACAAACTCCGATCCGATGGGGCCGGTCCCTGTGCTCAGTAAGATGGCTCTGCTGCTTCCTCAGAATGAGCCCCGAGCTCTGCTGAACCTTTGGAGTCTGCATGCTGACTGAGGAGAGGCATTGCAGTGCCATAGCTAGGGCCCTGGCTTCCTGGCTTTGCCACTGAGTGCTGTGACCTCAGGCAACACCTGGCTCCCCTGTGTGCCTCTCCCAACATTTGTGTGTTTAGCCTGGAAGCTCTTCAGTGCATGGACTGTCTCCTGCATGGCCAGCACCTACCACAATTCTGCCCCAATCTCCACAGTGGGCTTTCAGCCTTCCTGGGACACCAATAACACCACTAACTGTTCAGCTCTGATAGTTAGTTGGGCTGCACGGAGGGCTCTGCGATGAGACCGGCGCTCTGTGGGTGAGAGGGGGCCATCCTAACTCGGAGCCCTCTCCTATCTACACTTTAACCTATCCTAAAAGAAAATCCCTGGGTTATATTTTAAATCCCTAAAATATAACCCAGGCAGGAGACAGGTTACTTGCCTCACACCTAGCAACCCAGTGAGCGAGGAACATCTCTAAACTGCTGAGGGATAGGGTCTTTGGCTTATCCCACTATTTACAGTAGCAGCAATGTTCGGACCATGCTCATACATGTCCTTCCTTTCCCATAGTCTCAATCCCCTCCCTTGCTCTGGTTTGTCTGCCCCCAAGTCCCTGGACTATCTTGAGCATGCAGCCAGTTTCCTGATCACCCCCCGATGTCTGTCTCAGTCCTCGGAGCCAATGAAAAGAGAAAAACTTCTCTCAGGAACCCCCTTCCCAATGCCACCTTCTGCCACCGCTTGACTGTCAAAATGGACTCCACAGGGCCTGGGGCTCTGAGGACATTGCGAGTGTATGGCTCCCTCAGAACCACCGGCCTGACCCATTCCAAGTCAGGGATGGGCTTGTCCCTAGGAGAGCGGGCTCTGAGTACCTGCTACGAAGGAAGTCGTTGTTGTAGTAGGCGCAGAATCCTCGCTTGCTGCATTGCTTATTCCAGTGGAGGCAGGAGGAGTCAATGATGACACCAAAGAGAGCTGGAGCAGGTAACCAGGCTGCCGTGGCCAGGGGGAGAAGGGGAAGAAAGAATGTGAGACCAGAGTCACACTCCTTGCCCCACAATATAGACACAGCTGCCTGTTTAAATTCCCTCTCCTGTTCGCATGGAGGGTGTTTCCAGCCAGCCCTCAAACCCGGCCTGGCATCCTGCTCCTCCTGGAGGCAGGCCTGATACTTTGCATCTGCTTTACCGCAGCTGGAGCACCCTTTCCATTATAAGCCAACCCAGCTGCTTGGGCACCATGCCAGCACTCTCCCATCATACCTATGCTTGTCTGGTCCCTGTAGCCGGAACTCAGTCAGTGGCTTGCTGTGGCTGTATGCAAGGCGTGCATTGCAAGCGCCAGGACCGGCTGTGCCCATGGAGCGATTCTGCCCCACCCCTGGATGCACAAACAAAATGGCGTCCTGTGCGCAGCGTGACCAGGTGCGCCCTGTGCATGCCAGGTCATGCTGCGGGGAGGCTGCCATTTTGCATGCAAGTGTACAATTGCATGCCTGACTAAAAACATCCCAGCACCCCACTGGCCTCAGTTCCAGTCACTCTCTCTTCAGAGCTCAACTTGAAACCTTCCTCTTCACTTTAACCTGTCACTGAAATTGACCCCTCCATTTCTGCTTTCCCCCAGTCTTCCCTTAGTGGCTACCCACTTCGCACCACTAATGGGGCCTTGAAACGGGTGTCAGTTACACTTACGCTCCCCTTACAGCCGCTTGACGTTGGTGGGAGAGATCCCCAGCTGAAGTCAAGGGAGGTCTGATGATTTCCACCAGCTGAAGATCTGGCCCGCACAGCAGTGTAAACCGGGGTCAGTGTAAATGGGAATTGGGCTCTACATTCCTTTCCTGCCGGCGTGATAGCGGCTGCACCGTTTTCTGAGGGATGCTATTTAAAAGCACAGTTCTCTCATGGGCCAGATCCTTGGCTAATGTAAATTGGCGGAACTCTGCTGAAGTCAATGGAGCTCTGCTCATTTACACCAGCCCAGAATCTGACCCAGAATGTTTGCTCCAAGTGTTGAGGGAACTTTAATGTCTGAAGTTGTCAGGACATCAGCGTTGTGGCTCATCCAGCCTTTCCTGGTCGCTAGGGCTGCCCCTCTTTGTACTTTACAATGTGAAGATTGGACAACTGTCAAAAATGCCAACTTTCCTGACATGAGAAATGATCTAAGTGTCGTCTGATGGAGGGTTTCAATGGAAGCAGACTGTGCACTGTCTGCTGGGACAGCTGAATGGGGGTCACAGAAACCATCAGTGGAGTGTCAATACTTTTCCACCACCCAGAGAAGTTTACCTCTTAGGAATTAAAAAAAATGGTTCTGCTTCATATGAACAAAGAAATAAATGAGACACAGACCGAAAGGTAAGTTAGGGCTTGTCTACACAGACAGTCAGTTCCTGGGGTGTAAATCTACCTCACACTAGCCTGCCGCACACTAACCATCGAAGTGGACCCTGCTGCTATGTGTTAAATATTCCCTAGTGTGCTCTAATCTACTCCTGTTTCAAGTGGGGTAGCTCAAAGTGCGCTAGGGAACTCTTAGTGCACAGCAGTGGTGTACACAGCAAACAACAGGCTAGCGGGGGCTAGATTTAGACCCTGGCTTGCTGCAAACTAAGAGTTCATGCAAACAAGCGCTTAGACAGTCAAAAGAAATCCAATCCAAAAGGGAAGGGAAAGGGCTAATGTGAGGTTCTGATGAACCCTGCTGTCCTCTCTCCAGTCTCCAGCTCAGACCTGCGCTATGACATTATATGATTTACATGCTTCTTTCCTCCCAGTTTGGTGGCTTGTACAGGGAGCTCGAGTCAGACAGACACTCACCTAACAGTCTCATCAGTAAGAACTGGACTCCAATAGCAAATGACTTTTCATCCTGGTTCACCAACCTGTAGGGGAGAAGTTAGAGAAGATCAGATCCAAAAGCTGGACTCATCATTTTTGATGTATTGCCCTGTGCAGATAATGAACAGGTTGGAATCTGCATTCCAGTGGCTTGGGGCTCACCACGTCTCATGGGATGTGCAAGGCTTAAAGATACAGTCAAGCCAGATTTCTCTTGATGTGGAAGATGTGGGGCAAAGGGATGTTTAAGTAATTCCTGAGGAAATGGGCCAGATTCAGAGGGGACATTATTAGTGATTGGAGCTGGCTGGAAGATCGTAAGTATTTTCTGTGAAAAATTTCAAAAGAAAAGGGATATATTTCCCCCCAAAATATTTTGCAGAATTTTTCCAACGAAAAACTGAAAACAAAGGTCTGAGAGAGGATCTGATTGCTGTTTATAAATTCATTAGCGGGTAAACACCTGAGAGAGAGAAGAGCTATTTAAGCTAACAGACAATATTGGCACAAGAACAAATGGGTATGAAGTGGCCGTGAGTACATTTAGGCTGGAAATGAGAAAGTTTCTAACCATCACAGGACTGAGATTCTGGGATAGTCTTCCAATAGGAAAAGTGGGGGAAGCAATCTAACTAGCTTTAAGATGGAGCTTGATAAATATATTGAAACATTATATGACAGATTACACGTCTGTGACAGGAGGTGACTGGACTGTGGCCCAAGAGGTCTCTTCCAGTTACATGTTCTATGAAAACCCCAAACCTGTTGGATATTGAAAATTGAAGTATTTCTGGTTTTCAAAAATCTCTCCCCAAACAAACATTTTCCAGTTTTTGAAATATTGGTTGTTTTTGAAAACTGAATTTTTTTCTGTTTCTGTTTTTTCATAAAATGTCATCAAAAACAAAAAATGTTTGCAAAACTTGGTTTAGAAACAAGGCGGTTTTCTTGTTAGAAACCCGTTTCTAAGACAAAATGCTGCTCAGGTCGCTGGTGATGTAAGTCACTCCTTGGCAGTGGGTGGAAGGAACTGGTGTGCTCAAGGACAGAAAGGGGAAGTAGCAGGAAAGGCAGCCAGCAGATGGGATGAAGGTAAAGATGGGGAGGAGCTCCACAGCATCTTGGTTGATTTTACTGCTGCATCTACTCAGTGGAATGTAACTTACACCACCACTTACATCACATCTGAATTTGGCCCAATGACTTGTGTGATACAGCATGACCAGAAGGCACCAGGAGAGTGATATAGGAGAGATATGTAAGTCCCAGGATGGGAAGAAGCCTTATTCCCTGTAGAGGGAAGAAAGGTTTCTATAGCTTAATTAAAAGCACCTGAAGTCAATTAGAGAACCTGAAGTTAGTCACCCGATAAAACCCCCTGCTTCAATCAGCCAGGGGAAGGAGTTGGAGCAGAGTAGTTTGGAGTTGGAGCAGAGAAGAGTTTGGAGAAGTGCCGTGGCTGGCTAGAAGACCAAGACCCTAGGTAAAGAGACACCCGACTTGTGCAAAGAGAGAGGGCAGGAAGCCCCACAAGCTGAAGAGCAGGAGAGGGAAGTAGCCTAGGGGAAGGAAGCACTAGTTCAAGTGGTTTACTACTATCCCTAGGGCCCCTGGGCTGGGACCTGGAGTAGAGGGTGGGCCTGGGTCCCTCCCTCTCCACTACCCTTCTCTGGGTTACTAGTGGGACAGTAAGTACCCTAGTTCAGGGGCAGGAAACTGTGCCCTGAACCCCCCACCCCAAGAAGAGGAAGTGCGGGACCCATCATAATCGTACCGGCAATTTGCCATACGTGGTGTGAAAAGTGGGATCTCCGCGCTAGGGACTTAAAGCAGGGTTAACCAAAACCATCCCGTCCCCAAGATGGATGACGTGGTCAAGGCTCTAATGCAAGCCGCTGCGGCCCAACAGGAGGCTACCCAAATCCAAGCAACCGCCCAACAGGAGGCGACTCAGGTGCAGCAGGAGACTAATCCATTGTGGATGAATCAGGCTGCCCAGGACTGAGCTCTGCTACAGGAGCTGGCAAACCAGATGAAGGCCCTTATGGAGCAGAACCACAATTGTGAAGGAACCCGGACTATACGGGCCAGCCACTGCCTACAGAAAATGACACGGGAGGATGATGTAGAGGCGAACCTCCTGGCATTTGAGAGAACAGCCCTGTGGGAGGCCTGGCCCCGAGATCAGTGGTCTGGTATCCTCGTCCCGTTCCTGTGTGGAGAGGCCCAGAAGGTCTACTACGATATGGCTGCAGAGACTGCGGAGGATTACCCCCAGCTGAAGGCAGAGATTGTGGCCAGATCCAGAGTAACAACGGCGTTGTGAGCCCAGAGGTTTCATGAATGGCAGTATACAGAGGACAAGACACCCCGATTGCAATTGTTTGACCTGATCCACCTGACCCGGAAATGGCTGCGCCCTGAGGCATTCAGCTCTGAAAAAATGATGGAGCTCCTGGTACTGGACCGGTATACGAGGGGGCTACCATCAGGCCTTCGGGCTTGGGATGGCCAGAATGACACCTCTACCTACAATGAGTTGGTCTCCCTCGTGGAAAGACAGCTGGGAGCCCGGGAACTGTTCCAGACCCCAGGGGGTGAGACACAGCAAACCAGAAAGACAGCCCAAAACCCAAGGCCCTGGATTGTCAAGAACTACAGAAGAACCATAACTGGGAGGAAAGACACTGAGGAATGGCCCGAGGCCAAGAAGGGACCTGGGGGGTTGGGAAGAGAGGGCTGGGGGGCCAACCAAATAACCCCAGGCAGAGGGCGGCAACTGGAATAAGGGGTCGGTGTTATGAGTGTGGGGAATTGGGGCATATAGCAGCCCAGTGCCCCAACAGGGAAGAGCCTATGCAGTGCAATCTGGGGGATCCTGGGGAACAATGTGGCCTAATCGACCTGGCAGGTGTTGCAATGACCTCACATGGGTATACAAGGTCAGTAAAGATGAATGGTATTGCGACCATAGCATTAGTAGATTCCGGGAGTGCTGTCACACTGGTCTCGGGGAAGTTGGTGGGGCAGGACCAACTAACCCGGGCCAAAACCACAGGGGTATCATGCGTTCATGGCACCGTAAATTTCTACCCCACAATCCCAGTACAGATTGAGATCCAGGGAAACACTACCAGGGTAACTGCAGGAGTGGTCTCTAGGCTCCCCTACCCGGTCTTAATTGGTAGGGACTTCCCCGGGTTTGAGAACTTACTCCCCCAAGTAGAGCAAGGGGAGGGTAGCAACCCCCTGGCTGAGACGGAGGCATCTACAGATAGTCTTACCCCAATTTTTGCCAAATTTGCCCCAGAGCTATTTTCATCTCCCGGGAAACCCTGAAAGTCTAGGTGGGAAAAGAGGGCAGATAAAAGGCTAGGGACCAGGATTCTAGCAGAGAACCAGAAAGCCTCCCTTGTTGGTAAGCGAACCTGTTCAGGAGGCCAGGAGACAATTCAGGCCAGTGAAGACTCAGAGGCAGTTCCTAGCCCAAGTAGGGGCCACCCAAGGGGCGGAGAAGAAATAGGTCCCCTGGAGTTAGGTCAAATCGGTACCGTACGTGACAGTTTCAGGCAGGACCAAGCCAATGACCCGCTATATGCAAATGTGAGGGAGAAGGTAGTGGAAGTAAATTGCGTACCCGTGGAAGGAAAGACCAAAGGCCCAAGGCCGTATTATGTGATCAAATGTCATCTGTTGTACCGAATAGTGCAAATTTGAGGGGAAGAAGTAGAGCAGCTCTTAGTCCCACGGAAACACACAAGGGCAGTACTAGAGTTAGCTCACACTCATTTATTTGGGGGACATCTAGGAGTAGACAAGACACTTGATAGAGTCCTAAGAAGATTTTATTGGCCAGGAATACGTGCGGAGGTCCAACGTTATTGTACCTCCTGCCCGGAATGCCAGTTGCATAGCCCCCGACCTCACTTGCGGGCCGCATTAGTATCTTTGCCTATTATTGAAGTCCCTTTCAAAAGGATAGCCATGGACCTAGTGGGCCCACTGGAAAGATCAGCATGGGGCCACTGAAACGTATTAGTCATCCTTGACTACGCCACACGATATCCAGAAGCCGTTCCTTTAAGAAACCCCACATCCAAGGCAATAGCAAAAGAACTACTTCAGGTTTTTGCCAGAGTGGGCATCCCTAAGGAGATCCTGACTGACCAAGGAACCCCTTTCGTGTTGAAATTAATGAAGGACTTAGGTACCCTGCTCCACATCCATGCCATATGGACCTCAGTCTACCATCCACAAACAGATGGACTGGTAGAGCGGTTTAAAGGTATGATCTGGAAGGTGGTAGCACGGGACGGAAAAGACTGGGATACCCTTCTACCATACCTAATGTTTGCAATACGGGAAGTCCCCAGGTGTCCACCGGTTTCTTTCCCTTTGAGCTACCTATACAGACGCCACCCACGTGGAATATTAGATATCGCCAAAGAGGACTTGGAAGAACAACCCAACCCAGGAAAGAATGTCACTGAGCACGTGACACAGATGAGAGAGCGAATAGCTCAAGTAACCCCTATAGTAACCCCTATAGTACGAGAACATTTGGAAAAAGCACAAGAGACCCAGCGGACATATGATAACCGCCGGGCGAAAGTACGGAAATTTCAGCTGGGAGAACGGGTGATGGTGCTAGTGCCGACAGCAGAAAGCAAACGCCTGGCCAGCTGGCATGGGCCATATGAGATAGTGGAAGCCACTGGGGAAGTGGACTATAAGGTCAGACAACCAGACCGCCGAAGACCAGAGCAGATCTACCACGTAAACTTACTGAAGCCCTGGCGTGACCGAGAGACATGCCTGGTCTTTCGGAGAGCTCCACCTCAGACGGACGACCCACAGGAGCAGGTGAGGATATCCCCCGAGTTAGCCCCAGAACAACGAACAGAGGTCATTGATATGATCCAACGGAACCAAGATGTGTTCTGTACACAGCCGGGCCGTACGACACTGGTCCAACATCATATGGTCACCAGGCCTGGAATAAGGGTGACGATAAGACCGTACCGGATACCGGAAACTAAAAGAGAGGAAATTAGGACAGAAGTGAAGAAGATGTTGGAACTTGGGGTTATTGAAGAATCTCACAGCCAGTGGTCCAGCCCTATCGTCCTAGTACCCAAGCCTGACGGCACCCTGAGATTTTGCAATGACTTCCGGAAGTTGAATGAAGTATCCCAATTCGATGCCTATCCGATACCACATGTCGACAAGCTAGTTGATCAGTTAGGCAAGGCCTGATACCTAACCACTCTGGACCTGACCAAAGGATATTGGCAAATTCCCCTGGCCAAGAACGCCAAGGAGAAGACTGCTTTCTCTACACCTGATGGCCTGTTCCAATACACTGTCCTCCCTTTTGGACTCCATGGGGCCCCTGCAACATTCCAACGACTTATGGATAAATTGCTGCGACCCCATGCCAGGTGTGCTGCTGCCTATTTAGATGATATGGTCATCCATAGCCCTGACTGGGAAACGCACCTAGGGAAAGTAGAAGTGGTATTAGTTGCCCTGCAGAAGGCCGGCCTCATTGCCAACCCTCTCAAGTGTGTGATAGGACTAGCTGAGGCGAGATACCTCAGGTATGTAGTAGGGAGAGGCTTGGTAAAACCCCAGTGGAACAAAGTGGAAGCAATACAAGATTGACCTCGGCCAGTCCGTAAAAAGCAGGTCAGAGCATTTCTCGGGTTAGTCGGGTACTGTTGGAGATTCATCCCTCATTTTGCCACAAGAGCAGGGCCATTGACGGACCTGATAAAGGCTCTGGGCCCCGAGATAGTAAAATGGTCTGATGCAGCAGAAGGTGCATTCGCAGGTTTAAGGACAGCCCTTTGCTGCCATCCAGTACTCATAGCCCCAGACTTCAAGGGAGAATTTGTCCTACAAACGGATGCCTCGGAAGTAGGGCTAGGAGCCGTCCTTTCGTGGATGGTAGGGGAGATACACCTGATCCTGTATCTCAGCTGGAAGCTCCTCCCCAGGGAACAAAAGTACGCCGTTGTTGAAAAGGAATGTCTGGTGATAAAATGGGCCATGGAAACTCTCCGCTACTCCCTACTGAGGCGGCGATTTACCCTGGTGACAGACAACGCCCCGCTCCAGTGGATGCACAGAAACAAGGAGAAGAATGCAAGAGTGACTAGATGGTTCCTATCTCTGCAACCCTTTCATTTCTGAGTACAGCACGGGGCCGGAAGCCAACACGGCAACGCAGATGGTTTGTCACGAAAGCGTTGCCTATCGTCCCAAGTAGCCCAACAGCATGGTGTTGAGCAGGGGGGGGAGGATATGTGATACAGCATGGCCAGAAGGCAGCAGGAGCATAATATAGGAGGAATATGTAAGTCCCAGGATGAGGAGATGCCTTATTCCCTGTAGAGGGAAGAAAGGTTTCTATAGATTAATTAAAAGCACCTGAAGCTAGTCACCTGATAAAACCCCCCTGCTTCAATCAGCCAGGGGAAGGAGTTGGAGCAGAGAGCAGTTTGGAGGAGTTGAAGCAGAGGAGAGTTTGGAGAAGTGCCATGGCTGGCTAGAAGACAAAGACCCTAGGTAAAGAGACACCAAGCTTGTGCAGAGATAGAGGGCAGGAAGCCCCACAAGCTGAAGAGCCGGAGAGGGAAGTAGCCCAGGGGAAGGAAGCACTAGTTCATGTGGTTTACCACTATCCCTAGGGACCCTGGGCTGGGACCCAAAGTAGAGGGCGGGCCCGGGTCCCTCCCTCTCCACTACCCTTCTCTGGGTTACTAGTGGGACAGTAAATACCCTAGTTCAGGGGCAGGAAACTGCACCCTGAATCCCCCCCAAGAAGAGGAAGTGCAGAACCCATCATAATTGTACCGGCAATTTGCCACACTTGGTATATTCAGATAGCTAACAGGCAAGTTCCATTGGGGCCACGCAGCAATTTCACACCTTCCTTGAGCATATGAAAGACGCTATTCTTTTGGAAATTGGGGTCTCTGGCCAGGACTGGAGGAGATAGGTGAATTCTGATCTGGAGAAGAAAGTAGCTTTGGACTGAAAAGCATGCAGTGGGGAGATGGGGATGAAGGGCAGAGGAATGAGAGAGGCAAGGGCTGCTACATTCAGTGAGGAGGAAGTAGCTCTTGGGGAGCCCAGTGTCTTAAGGGGGTCCAAAAAGTTGGTGGATTTGGGTTGGGTTGTCTTAATTCACCTCTGACTGCGAGCCTAAGAAGATACAGGGCCAGATCCTCAGCTGCCATAAATCCATGTAGCTCCATTGATATCCCTTAGTTCTGATATTGACTCCCATGGAGCTCAGCCAATCAGCACCTGCTGAAGACCTGGCCCACACTTCTTGGCCTTTCTTTAAAAGACAACATACCAAACCCAGTCTCCTAGTTGCCTCTTGCCAGTGATAGACCTAGGCTGTGTGACCTATGCAGCCGCATAAAGTCTAACTCTTTTGGAGACCCCACCACACACAGACACTCATCCCACTAGCCCGTATAGCATCCCCAACTCCACATCCAGCAGACCATGTCAGAGAAAGAGTTCCCCAACTGCCCTCCCTGAGCTCCAATTCAAAAGTCCATGTAGGGGTGCCACAAACAGTCAAAGACTATTATACATGGGCAAGGAGGGTGTGTCACCCCAGGCAGTCAGGAAGGAGGCAGACAGTGCAGAGAGGTCAAACAGAAGACCTGGTCATAGGTGGGGAGGAAATTTGCCAGTTCTTTGCATGTGATACTTCATATGAGGTCCCATGAAACTGAACTTTGTCACCTACCGTAATACCATCATGTAGAGGGGATTGTGAGACAGGCATGCTATCAGGGCAGCAAACGAGATGAGGAATATGACAGGAAGGAGTAAATGGGAACAGCTGACCAAACAGGAACCTGTCTTTGCTGAGGACTGTCCATTCTTGGTGTGGATACAGGAGCAGTTCACGTAGATCTGTTTAGGGCATTAAAAAAAGACAGTAAAACATCTCCTGAGATCAGTATATCTGGAGCAGACTTTTCAGGACTCTAACTATCCCAGTTCTCTTCTCCCACCAGTTTTCCATGGAGTAATGGCACTGGCCTCAGTGGCAGGAGTTCCTGTGGCAGGAGTGAGAGCAGAATATGGCGAATATTAAAAAAATAATATTGTGAAGTCATCATTCAGTGCTTACTAGTGATGCTTGCTCAGTAGGAACCTTGCATAGCCCAGGAAGACCTAGATCACACACAGTTGCTAAAAGTCCTACTGAAAAACAAAACACCTAACAAACATATCGAAAATTCAGGCTACATAAAAAAGCCACAAGAGTACAACAATGCAGGCAGACGAGCAGGGCAAGGGGCTACCCAGTTTATTGCATTCAGAGCAATATGTACGATTACCTGCCTTGTGGGCAGATGGCATATGTGTGCATGCGGTACAGGAAACTCATGGCTCTCAGAGACAGAGTACGGGCTCTGAAGGCCACAGTGGCTGAGCTGGAGGAGCATAGGAAGACAGAAGTTCAGGGAGGAGACTTTTAGGGACAGCATAGAATGGTCCCATCTCCTGTCTGACAGTCCCTGTGCGTCAAGGAGGACGAAAGTCATGGGGCAGGAGATCATCAAGCTGGAGTGGAAGGACATGATTCCATAGTTGAGACTCACCTTCTGGATGATGTCATGGTATCTTCTTGCACTGAGGATATCCCTCCAGGGCAGGGAACCCAGTTATTAGGACGACACAGGCCATAATAGTAGAAGCAATTATTAGAGCCATAGATAGTTGGATTTGTGATGACCAGGAGAATGGCATGATGAACTGCCTACTGGATGTGAAAGTAATGGATCTCATAAGACATCTAGATAACCTTACAGGTAGTACTGGGGAGGGGCCCAGGGTGGTCATGGTACATGTAAGTACTAATGACATCGGGTAAGGCAGGAGAGAGGACCTGGAGGCCAAATTTAGGCTGCTAGGTAAGAGATTAAAGTCCAAGGCCTCCATGGTAGCATTCTCTGAAATGCTTCTAGTTCCACATGCAGAGTTAGTAAAACAGGCAGAACTGCAAAGTCTAAATGCATGGATGAGACAATGGTGTAGGGAGGAGGGATTTAGGTTTATTAGGAACTGGGGAACCTTTTGAGGAAGGAGGAGCGTCTACAGGAAGGATGGGCTCTACCTGAACCAAAGTGGAACTAGATTGCTGACATGTAAAATTAAAAAGGTTGTGGAGAATTTTTTAAGCTAAGGGCTGGGGCAAGCGGATAGATGCAGAGGAGCACCCAGTTCAGGCGGGGCGGAGACATCCTTCAGGGATGAATTTATTAAAGTGGGAACTCCATAGCCTTGTAAAGAGGATAGGAAAGAAGATGGCAAAGTACAGGTGGGAGCTAGTAAGGAACAGTCAAATGTAAAAGAATCCATTTCAATATAACCAACTGAATATTGGTAAAACATACAAGTGCTTATATACAAATGCGAGAAGTCTACATACTAAGATGGGTAAACTAGAGTGACTGGCATTAAATGAGGATATTGCTATAACAGGAACCATGGAAACTTGGTGGAATGAGGAAAATCAATGGGACACAGTAATATTAGGATATGAAATATACAGGAATGACAGAGTAGGTTACTCTGGTGGGGGAGTGGCACTATATGTTAAAACAGCATAAGCCAAATAAGGAGAAAATCAGAAATGAATCAAACAGAACCATAGTATCTCTATGGACAGAAATTTGATGCTTGAATAATAAAAGTCTATGTGTTTTAAATCTTTTTATTACCCTGTAAAGTTACCTTCCATCCTGATTTTGCAGGTGTGATTCTTTTACGTTTTTCTTTATTATAAAGTTCTTCTTTTAAGAACCTGATTGATTTTAGTGTCCTAAAGATAAAGGTCTGATCTGTACTCACATTGCTAAGGCAATTAGTTTATATATTATTCTCAAGCCTCCCCAGGAAAGGGGGTGAAGGGACTTGGGGGATATTTTGAGGGATAGGGATTCCAAGTGACCCTCCCCTGAATTTTTTGTAAATCACTTGGTGGTGGCAGCAATACCGTCCAAGGACAAGGAAAAGAATTTGTGCCTTGGGGAAGTTTTTAACCTAAACTGGTAGAATTTAAGCTTGGGGGTCTTTCATGTGGGTTCCCACATCTGTACCCCAGAGTTCAGAGTGGGGGGGGACCCTGACAGTCTAGCAGTAGGAATATACGACTAACCACCTGACAGGATGGTGACAGTGACTGTGAAACGCTTAGGGAGGTTAAAGAAGCTACAAAACCAGAAAATATCATAATAATGGGTAATTTCAACTTTCCTCATAGTGACTGGGTAAATGGCACCTCAGGACATGAATCAGACATGAAATTTCTAGACACCATGAATGACTGATTCTTGGAGCAGCTAATCGTGGAGCCCACAAAAGGAGAGGCAATTCCTGATTTAGTCCTAAGTGGAGCACAAGATCTGGTCCAAGATAGCTGAACCACTTGGTAATAGCGACCATAAGGTAAATACATTTAGCATCCCTGTAGGGGAGAAATACACCAAAACCCCCACCCCACTAACATTTAACTTTAAGAAGGGGAACTACACAAGAATAAGGATGATAGTTAGATGGAAAATAAAGAGAGCAGTCACGAGGGTAAAGTGCCTGTCACAGTTGGGTTGTGGGCGGCAGACCTAGCAGTCAGAACCCAGAGTCACAAGACAGGGGTCAAGAGCCAGCTGGGTCAGGACTTCAGGAGGTCAGAAGCCGGAGACAAACTGGAGAGCCGACCCACGAGTCAGGCTGGTCAGGTACCATGTGCTCAGAGGCAGGTGACAAACGGTAGGTCAAGAACCATAAATCAGATGCCAACAGGCCAGGTGGGTCAGTAGACCAGGAGATCAAGCTGGGAACACAGGAGCGGGAAGCAGGAAGCACAAAGCACAGAGTTCAGCGCAGGGTGGAGCCCACTAGTTCAGATAACTTCCTGCTGCTGGCTTAAACGGGGCCAGCAGGCCAACCAGCCACGCTGGGACGCTGCCAATCGGACCTCAGGGGCAAAGCCTCATGTGTCTCAAGTGAGCTATTGCTAACATCCTCCAGGTGGAGGGTTGGGGCATGGCTGCTCCCAGGCAGACCTGTAGGTTGTAGCTGTAGCAGCAGGCAAAGTACTTAAAAACATCATAATAGAGGCTCAGACTAAATGTATTCCCCAAATGAAAAAAGATAGCAGGAGGACCAAAAGAATGCCACTCTGGCTAAACAGCAGAGCATTACAGGCTAAAAGGTGCCCTTTAAAATTTGGAAGTCAAATCCTAATGAGGAAAAGAGGAAGGAGCACACACTCTGGCAAATAAGATGTAAAGGCCAAGAAAGAATTTGAGAAGCAACTTGCTAAAGACACAAAAACCAACAGTAACAAAAAAAAATGTAAGTAGATAGAAGCAGGAAGCCTGCCAAACAATCAGTGGGGCCACTGGACGATCAAGGTGCTAAATGAGCGCTCAAGGAAGACAAGGTCATCACAGAGAAGCTAAATAAATTCTTTGAATCCGTTTTCACCGCACAGGCTGCGAAGGGGATTCCCACATCATAGCTACTCTTTTTGGACAATAGATCTCAAGTATTGTCCCAGACTGATGCGTCGATAGAAGAGGTTTTAGAACAGACTGACAAACTAAACAGTAATGAGCTTCCCCAATTTATTAGAATTCTTTGAGGGAGTCAACATGCACATGGAGAAAGGTGATCCAGTAGATACAGTGCACTTGGATTTTCAAAAAGCCTTTGACAATGTCCCTCATCAAAGGCTCTTAAGGAAACAAAGTAGCCATGAGATAAGAGGGAAGGTCCTCTCATGGATCAGTAACTGCTCGAAAGATAAGGAAACAAAGGGTAAGAATAAATGGTCATTTTTCACAATGGAGAGAGGTGAACAGCGGGGTCCCTCAAGGTTCTGTCCTGGGGCCTGTGCTGTTCAACATATTCATTAACGATCTGGAAAAAAGGGGTGCACTGTGAAGTGGCAAAGTTTGCAGATGATACAAAATTGTTCTAGATAGGTAAGTCCAAAGCTGACTGTGAAAAGCTACAAAGGATCTCACTAAGCTGGGTGACTGGGCAACAAAATGTCAGATAAAATTCTATGGCAATAAGTGCAAAGTAATGCATATTGGAAAACACAGTCCCAACTATACATATATATGCAATGATGGGGGTCTAAATTAGCTGTTACCACCCAAGAAAGAGATGTTGGAGTCATTGTGGATAGTTCTCTGAAAACTTCCACTCAGTGTGCAGCAGTGGTCAAAAACTCTTACAGTATGTTAAAAATTATTATGAAAGAGAAAAAATAAGACAGAAATTATCATAATGCCTCTATATAAAGTCATGGTGCACCCACACCTTGAATACTGTGTCCAGTTCTGGTTGCCCCATCTCAAAAAGAACTCAGAGGAACTGAAAAAGGTTCAGAGAAGGACAATAAAGATGAACAGGGGTATGGAACAGCTTCCATACAAGGAGAGACTAAAAAGATTAGGGCTATTCAGCTTTCAGGACATTGGAAATGTCCCCATTTTTCATTGCTTTGATTAAAACTTTAGAAATGTTTAATAGCTATACACTGCTTGTTCGAGATGTATCACTATGCCAAGCAGAATTTGCTCAATGTTTAACAAGGAACCAATAATCCAGAGGAACAGGCATCTGGGGTGATAAACCATGTTTGGTGTGAAGAGGAAGAAAGTCAAATGATTGCAGGCCTCATCAAAGCTCTTCTTTTGCTTTGAGGCAACATTAATTATACTTGTCCAAGTGTTCTGTGATCACCTTATTCTGAACATGAAGCTACTGGGGAAAGTCCTGTGCACAGAGAAGTATGCACATGCTGCTGATGAGTCAGAAGCTGGCATGGCAACACCAGCACACACTTGGAGAGAAGTGCCCTTTGTCAGGACTGTTTCGCAGCCCACAACAATGTCACCACAAAAGCACCCTGGGTTTTGATTCTGAGAAAATGATCACCATAGCTAGAGGTGGCTCCTGACACCTAATCTTATGAGCTTCCAGAAAACAGTTTAGATTCTGGCCCGTCAATGTGACTTTGTGGGCCAGATGGCTCAGCAGTGCGTCATCTCCCCAGCCCTGGAATCCAAGTTGCTGCTACTTACCATGTCCTTGGGCGTGGAGGAATTAATGGAATCCGAGCAGCCAGCCTTGCAGGGGGAGATGTACTCCACGTTGTCGTCTCCACAGACAGGGTGAAAGAGGTACTCTGAGCAGGAGCACGCAGTGGGGCACTTAGCTTGTGACTGGGAACTCGATGTACTGCCAAGAAAATGGAAAAAATAAAAGAAAAGAAAAGAAAATAGGATGGGGAAAAAAACCCACCCTGTTGAATTCTCTGCGTGGTTAACCAATCTCCCTGTCTCTGTTTGTGTTGGGTCACTGCCATGCAGTAGCCTGGCCTTGTGCCTGATTCCTATGCCCTGGCAGGTACTGCTAAAATTTACAGTGAACTTAGCAGTAATTACTCGCATGTGCATGCAAACAAACATTCACACACTTTTTTATGGAGGAAAACTAATAATCAGATACCAGGAGAAATTTAATTGGGCTAAGGCATCCATCTGAAACCACATAACATCCAAATCAGAAGTGGGGGGGAAGTCAGTTCAATCAGAATTGAAACTGGAAGCATGCTAGCTCAAACACACAAATTGAGGCAAAGGTTGCATTTAAACTTCACAGGACAAAATTCACTACACTGATTTTTCTTTCCTTAGCACTATGGAGGAGCAGTAAACTTCTGCAGTAATATATTACCCAGTAATCCATCTTCAGGGATTACTCTCAGTCAAATCCTAGGGCGTGGTGGATGACAGGACAGACTGCATATGCTTTACTTCCTGCAGCAAATAGCTAACAGTCAGCTGGGGCTTTTCAGGTAAAAGGGATTTTCCACTGCTCATGGGCTGCTGGCACTGAGGTGGGGAAGATTTCCAGAGCAATGGAAGCAGTGTTTCCCCCAGGAATTGAAATTATGAGGGGTGTTCAAATTTATGGGGAAGGGGTAGGGGGGTGGGAGGGTCAGGGCCAATGAGAGGTGAGACCGTGAGGGTGAAGATGGGCTGTATGGCACCATAGTAAAAACTGAAAAATGTTTCATGACCCTTTTATTAGATTTTAAAATCATCACACAAATTAAAGTTGGCTACTCAAGCCTTCTATGAATCACTACATCTATATCCTTCTTGGTTTCTTATTATAATTTTGCACAACTCTGTTAATGAACTTCTTGAATGCAATGCATTCATCTTTGGTGGCTTCTTGTGTGTCCAGTACTTCCATTCCTTCAATTGATATGCTCATTAGTTCATTCACATGATCAGGCAGAAGGCGACTTCTTTAAAAAAAACCCACAAAATTCTATTCAATGATGAAAAAGAATGCTCAGCTGTAGCTGTTGTGTCTGGGAGTAGCAAGAGATGAATTCCTACTTCTTTCAGCCCAGGAAACATAGCATAAAGATTGGGTCAAGCCACTAGTGATGATAAAAAAGTTGAAGTCAAATCTTCATTCATTCGTCATATATTCCACTCTGTGTTCAAATTCTCTATTCTGTCCTGAGCACATGGCAGCCCCATTGCTGGTAGTGCCTCTCTCTACTCAACTGTCAGTGTTTTATAAGACAGGGATCTGTAAAAGCTACGTAGAGGTTGAGTAGAATCTAGAAGTCGCTGTTGTAGGTTTTTAAGAATCAAGTCTGTGTACTTTTTCAGTTGTCTTAACAAACACTTCTTGTCCTCTTCACTTAAGGATTCAATATAAATGCCTTCATTAGTCAACTTCTGGATTGAAGTCTTTGCTTCTTCCAGTACTTTTTCAATGGATAGCTCTCTGATTGATCCAAATGTAGCTTCTATTGCTGGACAAAGATCTACTACTGTTGTAGCAGATGCCTGGATGGCATTGTTTAATGACCCAAGTGGTTTCAACAGTAGATTTACAAGAGAGAGAATGGCAATAGTCTTCTCTGAACATAGTAGCAAAAGTACTCACTCCACCAGCCTCACTACTTAGATCCATCCCATCTTGGTAGATACTTTCCAAAGCCAGTAATAATGGCTAGAGTAATTTTAAGACAACAGCCAAGGATTGCTCATGAGAAAGCCAGAGGGTTTTCCCAGGCTGGACTACTTTGAACTTCAGTCCCAAAGTATCTTCTATATTTTCCAAGATATTCAGTCTTTTTGGACTCTTGCTGAAAAAAGAATATAATGAAGACATTAAATGTATAGCTTTTTAAATATCTTTTGAAGAATCTGCAGCTCGTACTAGCTCTAGTTGGAGTACATGGCCTCTGCAGTGTGTATAGGAGAGACTAGGGTTACACTTTTCTCTGAGCAAAGCTTGTGCTCCACCATGTCTTCCAGAGAAGTTTGCAGCTCCATCAAATGCAAAAGCAGCCATCTGTTTGGGGTCCAGTTGACAAGCATTTAACTCTTCTAAGATGTGGGTTGTCACAGATCTAGCCAATCTGTCTTCTATAATTTGAACATCTAGAAATGCACCTACTGGCCTACCACTGACATCAAGGTAACATACAGAATGAATTAATACTTGATGACCATTTGCATTAGTGCATTCATCGCCCTGTATGCACATTTTTTGAATGTGGTGAGAGAGTTCTTCACTTTTTCAACTGTTGAGTCTTTCACTGTTGCACCACGTGCATCTAGCCAGTCAGTTGAGTTTCTTGCAGAAAGATAGTGAGCATTTTCTGGTCTTGTTCGGAACCAGTGTTCAACTTCAGGATGGACAAGTGACAATGCACTTAACATTGGCCTCCAGTTTGTAGTGTGTGATATCTTTTGCTTAAATAGAAAGTATGATGCCACAGCCATGTTTGTTCACATGAACTGTGTTATGTAACAGCCTCATTAACACTCACCAGTGTTGTCCTTGGTCAGTGGAGACTCAGAGTTCAGAGGTGCTTTCACATGAGTTCATCTCCCAGGTGGGGGACAAGAAGGCACCTTGTTTGTTCCTCCAGCTGCTCACTGTTCACTCTGGCCACTGTTGTTTGTTGTGCCACCATTCACTCCATCGCTCTGTTGCCAATGGCCCTGCGCCTTCATCTTCTGGTGCCACCTGCCACTGCGACCTCTGTGTCGGTCTCTGGAGGCTTCACCCAGCTGTCAGTGATTTTAGCTGAGCTCTCAGCTAGTGCAGATTGGGCCATCTCTTCCACAGAAACACTGTCCCACAGCGGGTCTAAGTACTTAGACCTGATTATCAGTGATTTCAGCTGTAGTGATCACTTAACAAAATAAAGACTATCCATGGAGCCTAATCAGCTCTGTCTTTAAACAGTGGAGAGGGGCAGGTCTAATAGTACTTGTGACTCAGGCAGAGCATCAAGCAAAACACCTGTCCCCACCCTCTCTCTCTCTCTCTCTCTCTCTCTCTCGATGCCCTCAATCAGCACAGGCTAAGTACAGTTCTACTGCACTTTACTCATACAATAAGAATAACAACACTTCATTATACCTCTTTCCCCGCATTCAAGTGATTTGTAACCCAACCCCAGCCAAAATCTATCACTTGGGCAACACAGCTCTGTTTGCTGGATACCTAGGTAGATTAGGTATGAATGTAAATACAATCTGGTCCCGAAGCCTTTCCCCCGAGTCCGCAGCTCATCACTAGCTGTCAGGGAGAGCTCATTTAGACTTTGCTTACAAATCATAATTTGAAATTATTAGGTTGGCCAACATCACCAAAATGAATGCACTGACATTGTCATAAACAGCTGTACAAGGAAGCTAGTCTATGTTCATACTTTTCAAATCTATTATACTTTTTCAGATACACGTATTTTATCATACACTGTATATGCTTTTAAAGTATGTATTAATGTTTCAATTTCAATTCAAATTTCCAATCATTAAATTGGCAACTCTGCATGTAACTAGTTCACAAAACCGGGGGGGGGATTCAGGGGGGGTAAACACCCTCTTGGGGGGGGGGGTGTAGGGAAATCCCTGAATGGAAAGCATAGGCCAATAGACAACAGACCATAGTAAGAGTTTGACTAGCCTGGTACTTGGTTTGACCCAAGGAAGCTGCAGGGGAAGGAGAGGAGCAGATGAAAGGAGCCACTGGGGAGAAGACACAGTGTCTGGAGTGGCTCAAACAATAGCCAGAAAGTGCTGAGCCCAAACCTTGCCCTGGAAGTGGGTTGAGTTCACTGGGCCTTCATCATGAGGCGGAAGGGGGCCTATCTCTCTTTAGAAACAGTCTCCAGTTAAATCCCTTCTCCTGGCCCTATCTGACCTGTAGGATTTTGCCCTCCTCACTCAAATTGACAAAAAATGTGGATCCCCCTCCATTTCTGCCAGTCAGGGGTTCTGTGTACAGCAGTTCCCTAAAGTCAGCAGTGGGGAACTCACTATGTGTCCTGCCCAGGCTGCGTAGACATGGCAGCAAAGGGGCAAATGCCTGTTCTCCACCATAGTCTTCCAACCTGCCATCTCCTCCCATGCAACTGTAACCCACACACCTCCTGGGTGTGGTGCTCTGTCCCAGCTAGTGGCACCGAGACCACGGAGAGAGAGAGATTAGAGTCTGCTCTACAGCCTTAGCTAATGGGCCTATAGCTTTTAGCTCATGCAGTAGAGGCTCATGCATTTAGCTCCGGAGGTCCCAGGTTTGATCCCGCCCGCTGACAACCGGGGTTTGTCAGTGTTACACAATTATCGGAGAAACTCCAGCACATGCCTTTAAGCTGGGAAGGAACAGTGAGGAACATGATCTCAAATTAAAACATAAAATTAAAAACCATCACCAACACCCGGCAATGTATTGGAGTCCAAGGGCCACGTTCCCTGACCTTGCCCCAGCATTTCCAAGGCAGGAATTAGGTAAAGTCAGACTTCAATACACAGCATCACAGCATGCAGATATCTCTCAGCAGTGTGGCATCTGCTCCCTGCATTCCACCAAAACACAGCAAATTGCCAGGAAGTAATGGGGGCAATTCAATCCCAGCACCTGGTCAGCAGACACTGCCCCCGAGCTGACTGCCCTGCCCCCCGAAAGCGACCGGACAGACACGAACATCTTTGTGAATCCTGACACAACTAGAGGGCACAGGTGTGCTGACCCATAGCTCCAAATGGCATCTCCAAAGAGTCTGCAAGCCCCAACCCTCCGCGGCTCTGCGTCACTTGTCCAGACTCTGATCTCAGACTGCAAAGAAGGTGAGTGGCCTGGAACTGCAGTGGTAATGTGTTCAATGTTCTACCCACAAAACTGTCCTTCCTGTCTCTTAAATCCTTTACCAGCTTCCTCTCCCCTCCTCCTCCTCCCCTCTGCTCCCGTCCCCGAATCCAAACAATGCAGGCTGAACACTGTGCTGTATGGCTAATTAGAGCTCCTCCACACACAGACAAATATTTTTGGGGATCACTAGTAGATTTTTAAAATTGCCAACACTCCCAATGACTATTAACCACTCCTAACGAAGTACACTCAGTGCAGATCTCGAGAGCACCATACAAACACTGCCAGCCACTGCCTAGAGGTCTGTTTGCCGAGTGCTGGTGTCGCTTTCCTTGGTTAGAAATATGTGTTTTTGTTTAACTATGGCAGGGTGCAGGAGGGGGATGAATGGATAGAGTGGCCAGCCTCTGGCCCCTCCTGTTTGCAAGCAGAGCACCCCTGGGACAGGGGGTTTATCACAGGCCAAGAGAAACATTTGTGTGGAAGCCCCTTCTTAAGATATTGGCAGTAAGCTGGGAAATGGTCTGAATAAGGTGAAACTGACGAGCTTGGGATGGAGACCAAGTGCAACTTTATCTTAAATAAGTAAAAGGGGACAATAAGAGTCAAGTGTTCCCTCTCACACAGCCAGAGAGGCTACTTTCTGAGAGAAGGAGTGCGAGAGCCAGCTGGCTATATTAACGCCTTCCGACTGGGCAGGTGTTCCATGAGCCAGAGCCCCTCTCCCTTACGGAAATGTAAGGATGAAACTTACAGAGGTAGCTTTGCTTGATATGGGAGTCACCAGGTAAACATTATGACTGCACTTTTTTGGAAAGGGGTGTTCTGTGCTGTACACCCTCTCTATTCTCTGGCCGGTATATCTAGGCCCAGCAGGTTGGACATAGATTAAAGGCCAGAAAGGACCATAATGATCTTCTGGTCTGACCTCCTGTATAGCCCAGGCCTGGGGTAACTAGAATGTCGCATAGTTACCCCTGTATTGAGCCCAGTAACTGGTTATGTTTATAGCCAGCAGCTGCAGAGATTAGATGGGAAATGGTGCTGAAATAGATCACATGCCCAACAGACACAGAGACCATACTCAGATGAGACTCCTGGAAGGACCACCTCTGAAAGGCGGAACTTCCCAGGATGTGCTAACCCTGACAGCCAATCAGCATTCAGAGTGCCCTTTTGAAGATGATGTCATTGCACAGTGGCACCCCCTGGTTCAGAGGCAGCCGGATACAGAATACTCACCCTTTTCCAAACACTTTCCTGCTCAGGCAGTCCTGGGGGAGCCCCCCGAGGGGAGGTGTGTAACATTCCTCTTCTGGGTGGTTGTGAGACTCTGCACTGTCACAGCAGAGACATATGATTGATTTGGCTCATCCCAAGATATGCAATCTCGAGGAGCAGAAGGTAGCAAAGGGAGCAACGTGGAGGGTTAGTGTTGCCTGGCAAATGAGTGTGTCAATGCTATGGGGGCTGCATATGTGAGAGCCTGCTGTGGGGATAGCCTGGTTCCCTCTGCACCTGGCTGAAGTGAGCGAGTGAGGAGGAGAGCCTCCTGCAACTGCTACAAGGAGAAGCGGTGAGCTGCCGGGCCTGATTGGAAGCCAGTGTGTGCTGTGGGATGGCTATGGGAAGGCCTCACCGTGCTCTTCTCATCATGAACTCCTGAGTGGCCCGTGGCAAACGTGAAGTCCCTAGGTGGCCATGGCCTTGTACGGTGGAGTGTCTGTGGTGTGGTCAAACTGTAGTGTGGCTGGAGTATAAACAAACAGAAGGCTGTGGGCTCTGTGTGAGCTGTAACTGGGCCAGGGACTCAGTGAGGGGAGAGGAGGGAAAGACAAAGAATTGGCCAAAGAAGGAAGGGAAGAGAAAAGTAGAAGAAGCAGAGTAAGGGAGAGAGTGAAGGAGAGGTGGAACTAATCTGAGTACTTGGTGGACATTACTTCCCACTCTGCACTTTGAGGCCTCCTCTAGTGTAAGAAGATAAGAGTCTACTACTGCTGCTGGTTAACAGATTAACTCCTTTGGCTATAGTTGGAGAGGCTCCTGCTTTTAGCTATGAAGGTCCTAGGTTCGAAACCCATTCTAATGTCCGAGCAGGATTATACTCTCAGCCAGCCTTCCTCACTGGCACAGCCCTGCATTACCTGGGTGGGTAAACCCCAGCAATGGTCTGTGTAGGGCAGCCCATGAAGAAAAGGGGGAGGCAGCAGAGGACGGAGATGAGGAGCACCACCAGTGCAAACCGTGGGATGGCTTTGATGGAGAAGCCAAAGCGCTTCATGATGATTCCTCCTAGAAGCATCCCCAGTGCGGCGGCGGGCAGGTTCACAGCTCCTGCAATGACAGAAGAGGCAGCAGCCATGAGTGCATGGGGAGAGCTCTCCTGGCCAAGAGCCGTTCAGTACTGACATTCAGAGGAGCAGGGCTGGCTAGGTATTTGTGGTGGGAGGGGGAACCACAGACCCTTCAATCTCCTGAGGCCAATTAATTGCCACAGTATCTGATGCGCACTAGTTACCCCAGGCTGGGAAGTTTCAGTGATGATATCACATCTATTTTTCATAATCCCTAAGCAGCACCTTTGCACCAATTTGGCCATGCCTCCTTCTTCCCCAGCTGTGATCCTAAGTCAGGGGCTGTGAGGAGGACAATGTATGACCGGTTTCAGAGTAGCAGCCGTGTTAGTCTATATTCGCAAAAAGAAAAGGAGTACTTGTGGCATCTTAGAGACTAACAAATTTATTTGAGCATAAGCTTTCGTGAGCTACAGCTCACTTCATCGGATGCATGATCGTTAGGCCAGCTCTGTTCCTCTCGAGGCTAGGGGAATTCCTAGGTGGATTGTTAAACTGACTTCACAGCCCCTTTGCTGTAGCGTGGCAGAGGATCTTGACCATGGCAGGGAGACTACATTAATTTTACACATCTACTAAGTGTCAAATTTGGTGTAAGATACTTTTCCACTGACGCACTTTCTCTAACCAATTGATTTGAAAGATCTACCTTACTTTGCCCTACCCAAGTCAATGGGTCGCATGGTGTACATGAGAGCAGTCTCTAGCCCACTAACAATAAGGTCAACCATGGACAACCCGACTGATGGGTGTCACCATGGCCTCATCCTCACAAACATTCAGGGCAGGAAAACGGAAATGACTTGGATTGGCTTAAGACCAGAGAGGGTGGAAGTCTCTGAATCTTGCCTACATCCTTCCCCAGATGCAGTGCCAGGAGAATGTACTTCCCATGTTTTCTCTCTTTATATTTTAAAAAGCCATGGAAATCATGGACTGGGTGCCCCCCATCTGTGAATGCATTTGCTGCATTTCAAATCTTCCCTTTGAATTCAGGGCCAATCGCCCCCTTTCACGGGGACACGGACATGTGTCTCACCAATGAGGAAGTTGGCATAGGACGAGGTGGTGCCGTACTGTTTCTCCAGGAACTTGTTGAGGAAGGTGGCGAGACCAGCTATGACTGAGGAGAAGCTGCACTGAGCCAGGACCAGGAGAATGAAGAGGGGGTTGAGGAGCAGCTTGAGAAAGATCCGAGGGAATTCTACAAGGAAACAAGAAGGAAGAAGTAATTTATCAAGGAAGAGGTCATGCCAACAGCTCGTCCCATGAAAATAAAGCTTAGAAACAACCTTTCTATGATGATTTAATACAGAAACCTCTGGAGCACATGTGGGTTCCGCTATCGGAGACAGGTCCCAGAAGAACTGTCATATTGGAATAGGGAGATGAGCAATGCTTAATTTTTAATGAAAGAGGTCCCGGGAGCTCAAGCAATTATGTGCTGGGGCTCAAGCAATTTTTTTACATTCATAATTGATGCAGCAAGCCCAGAGGTGCTGGGGCTATAAACTGCCAAGACCGGAGGTAAGGCTGCTTTGAGCCCTACCATCAACCTTCTTTCTGTGTCTTTGTTCTTCTGAATTTAGACACCCTGCCCTGATTGTAATATTGTCTAGCTGTGTCATGCTGACTTGTTAAAATGTGGGCCAGATCCTCAGCTGGTGTAAACTGATGAAACTCCATTGACTTTAATAGAGCCATGCTGATTTACATCAGGTGAAGATCTAACTCCTGGACTCTGATTGCAAGGAAAATTAACTGCTTGTTCATTTGAATAAATGACAGTGTAATTTATTATTCCTAAAGGCCAATCTGAGACAACCTGCATCAAACTGGGCCTAGCAATATGCCACAGACAGCTGACTGACCCCAAGTCACTTATGGACCACTGTCATTCTACTAATCACCTCCTTAACTTTGACCACCTTTTTTTAGAGGCAATTTGTCCATGTGAGGAAGAGGAAACATCCTTGTCTGGAAGCTCCCAGGAAGCAAAGCAGTGTGCTACCCCGGAGGGAAGGTGGCACGTCCTCTGCTACCAATGTGTAATTGCTATGTGTCAGAATGCACTTGTGTCCCTGAGATCCCTTTCCTTTGGAGAGAGCTACGTTTAAACAGGCTAGCTTAGATTACATTTACAAGTCTGAAGGTAGACCCAGTGCCTACTGCCGTTGATCTGCACCTTGTATCCCCTGCAGAGTTTGGCAGGAGCAACACGCTGGGTACTATTGTCCAAAGTGCCTAAGTGACTTAGGAGCCTCAGGCCCATGTTCAAAGAGACTTGGGCCATAGGAGCTTAAGTCCCATTGACTTGCAGCTGGGGAGACTAAAGTCACTTCTGAATATGAGCCTTGGGCACACTTTGAAAGATTTGTCCCTCAGCTCCAGATTAGACTAGCTGTGAGTGCTGCTAGCAAGGCCTAAGAAGCGTAGGCAGCAATGTGCCAGGAAGTTACGCAGTGCCTGCCTAGCCATGGCAAGTGTGCTGTCTGCGTGAGTCACTCCAGTTCCTGAGTGCACTAGCAGCCACTCAAACAGTTAAAGTGCAAGACTAGAACAGGAGCCCTTTACTTCTAATGAACTCTGTCAGGGAGACTTCTTCAGCCTTTGCCTTCTCCATCTTCTTCAGCATGTCTGCCTCGGCGCCTGCATCCTGGGGAGAGCAGAGAGAAGCACAGCTTACTCCGAGAGGCACTGGCAGACATTTAGCATTCTCCAAGTGAGTGATGGGTGCTGGAAACTACCCCATAATTGTATCAGAGAGGCTGCTGTCATGCAGTTGTGGTCACACAAAGAGGCATGGGTGGCAGTGTGACAATCAAGAAAGCTTAGACACCCCCTTCCAAAGCACTGGCCGGCTTGCTCCGACACAAGAGCCAACTCAACCCTTGCGGTGCTCAGCGCAGGGAGTGCCCCAGGGTGCATAAAGGGGAAGACAAGGAGATGTGCATCTCTGGTGCAGCTGGACATTGCCAGCTGTGTCCCCTGGCATTCCGCCTGCTGGAGCTAAGCTTCTCTTTGATCTTTTGCCAAGGCTGAGGCACTTGCTCAGCCTGCGGCAGTGAAGGAGTTAATTATCTGAGTGGCTTCTCGAGTCTGCCCCCATTAGGTGCCAGAGTAGAGCTGGATGGAAAGCAGTTTTCCTGTCTGAGAGATTTTGAAAAAAATTCACATCCTAAATTGGGATGAAAAGTCAAAAATCTCAAAAATTGTCATGAACCAAATATCGGTGGTGCAGGGGGATTCCAGTTGGGTCAGCTGAAAGAAAATTATGAAATGTTTTGTTTCAATTTTGATTTTTTTAACTATAAATTAACTTAAATTTTGAAATGAAGAGCCGTTTCAAACCAAAAAATAGAACTTTTCATGTTGAAAACATCAAAACGGGACATTCTGACAATTTCAAACCTTCCCCCCTCCCCCAACTGTTCTTGAAATGGGGAATTTGTCCAGACCGGCCCTTTCCTGCAAACGGTTTCAATGAATCAGCATTTCTGACCCCAAAAAATGCATTGTGGAAAAATTCCCAACCAGCTCTGCTACACAGCTCGGCGTGGTGCTGGTACCCCACAGCAGAGCTCCACTTTGAACAATTACCCCTGGGAGCCCTCTGCTGGTGTCCCTGTTACCGATGGAGAGCATGATCTTGGAGAAGACAGGACAAGGATGGGGGTGGTGATGCCACTGTAAGGGGAGGGAGAGAAGGGGCAAGAAAGCGGAGAATGCCAAGGTGGGCCATAGCAAGGAGATGAGAGGAAAGAGGCTAACGAGACTGGTGCAAGGTGCAGTGAAACCTCGATTCCTACAGAGAGGATAGAGTCTTACACAAAAATACAACTAAGTGAATGCAGTGGTGATAAAAGACTGACAGCCTTGGTGAATGAAATAGGAACATAGGAAATGCAAGCAGTCCATTGACTCCAGTATCTTGTCCCCAATGCTAGTCAGCACCAGCTGCTTCAGATGGAAGGACTCCTGCAGTGGGCAGTTATGGGTTAACCTGCCCCAAGGCAAAATGTCTTCCTGAAGCCGAGCATTTTGAGCTTGGTTAAAGCCCTGAAGCAGAAGGGCTTATGTCCCTTTCAAAACTCTTGTTTTCTGTATATCTCCAGATATTCTCATTATCCACATAAATGTCCAATCCTTCTCTGAATCTTGACAAGTTTTTGGCCTCAGTGATAGCTTGTAGCAATGAGTTCCATAGACTAGTGATGCGTTGTATGAAACTCCTTCATTTATCCACAAACCAGAGACATCACAAGCCTCTCCACACTGTTCAGCCAACATGCCTCAACCTTGACCCAGCGGGCCCAGATCTAGAGAGGTTTAATATCCCTGCCCAGCTATTGGGATGACATTGGCACCCAAGTGCCAAGTGTAATGGCTGTATTTGGAGTGTGGACTGAGATCACCAACTCGTAACATAGTTTGGTAATCAGATATTCATTCATTGTAAGTTTTAGTGGTAAAACAAGAGGAAACAGTGCAGTGTAGAGTACCTTCCATGTGGGGAAAGAAATCCAGTTATTATTGTACATTATTTGTATTACAACACCTGGGAGCTGAGACAACCCAAGCCTGCCAATAGTCTGTGTGAGCATGCTCAATACAAGCCAAACAACAAATCTGGGGTGGGAGGGCATGTGATCCCACATGCCCTCCCCCGCGTCGCCTCTGCCTGGGAGCTCTGAGCAAGGACCAGGGCTCCATTGTGCTAGGCACCATAGCGACAAGTAACAGAGAAGACAGTTCCTGCCCCAGAGAGTTCCCAGTCTAGTGTGTGAAAGGATTCACCAGGTGGACAGAACGTACAGACCGAATGGGGTGCGGGGAGGATGAGTTAACCAAATGGACAAAGAAGCAGACAAGAAGTCTCAGCTTGCCACCTGCCTGCCCAAGGCCAGTTCTGGTTCTCTCTTCTGCCCAGGTTAATTTCAAGAAAATAAAGGAGTCTGTCCCTTATAGATTCACTTGCCAAGATTCACAAGCACATATCGGAATGTCCACCATGCTGTCCACCATCCCTTGTCTCCATTCCCCATAACTGCCCTGGAAGGAGATGTGTATCACCACATAAAACACCACAAACCTGCTCTGAGCAAGATGATGTTCTGCCCCTACAATGCCTGGGTCTTACCTGCCTTTTGAACATGTACCGAGGGAAGAAGAAATAGGGAATGGAGATGAGCAGCAGGCAGCCTGAAGAGATGAGCAGCCCCAGCCACCAGGCTCCAATCCAGCGTTGATCGTGTGGTGTCAAATTTATGAGATCTGAAAACACAGGGAGGAGTGAAGTTACCCAGTGCCCTAACACAACTCCCGGTAGCACAACATGGCTCTGGCCCCCTAGGTGGCTACACTATGTATAGAGATATACGAGTCTGCAACTGCCTTTGACTCACCAGCGCTAGTCTTTTATCTCAGAACCTAGGGACTCACATGTGTTAGTCTCAGGGTCTCAGGTTCGATCCCTGTGCATGGTTGTCCTAACTAGTTCTTATTTTTACACATTCTTGACCCAAAATAAAAGCAAAGAGAAAAAATTTAATCCACTCTAAGCCACTTCTTAGGGGTTAGGGGAGCAAGAAGGTTTTCTGAAGCCTCCTGTAAAATAGACTAAGGGCCAGATCCCCAGCTGGGGTAAATAGGCATAGCTCTATTGAAGTCACAGAGACATTCTTCATTGAAGTCAATGCAGCTGCATAGACTTATATCAGCCACGGATCTGTCCCTAAATGTTTCCACACCATGGGGGTCACTCTCATGGCCAGCTGATCCTACAGAGGGGCCTTTTCCCATACTCTCCCCCTTCCCTACCAGGAGCTAGTTCTGAATGGCCAAGGCCCACGCTGGAACACTTCCCTCGCAGCCACCCCCATCATCTGAATGTAGGCAGCAGGACCGAAGGAGTTCTCAAAGCCAATACATGAAGTGAGCCATTGGAGTCCATTAGTCACAGCCAAGCAAAGGCAGCATGCTGACTGGCCAGGAATTCCTCCCAGGGAGTGCGATCAACAGCTCCGTACAGCCTCATCAATGCAGGCACAGCCAGGCTCAGGTCCAAGCAAGGCTGCGAGTCCAGCTGGTCCAGGGCACAGCAAAGCTGGCAGAGGAGTTGGACATGGGCCTGAGGGTTCACGATGCCCTGCCTGCCTTGTGTCATCAGCAAAGCAGCTGCTGTCATTTCTAGCAGAGAACCCCCTAGCACTATGAGTAGTGTCTATTCCTGATGACTGGTGGGTCTCAAGGCCTGCAGTTAATCTCTAGGCCAAGGCCAGCGTCTGTGTGGGGCTTGCTGTGGGCCTGGGATCTACCTGATGATCCCGTGCCACGGAAGGAAACAGGAGCTCTGTCATTATTTGTAATGGATGCAGGATCAAGCACTAGCAGCGCAGAATGCAGGTTTAACCCTTCACTGACACTAGAAAGAGCCCGTGATCTGATGGAGATGAGCCTAACCTAGGACTCCATGTCCAAACAGCCCTGCACTCTGGGAGTGCCTGGAAAAGTTATATCAGCATCTAACTATGCAGGATTCAAAGTTCTTCCCAAGAAGCCACTCAGTGGTGAAGGAGTTAAAGAAGTCTCTATTCTGTTATCCTTTGCCTTTGGGTAGATGGCATGTTTGGAATCCAGATGAATAGATGGACTGTAGAGTCAAGAAGGTGACTGGAAATTTTAGTAGCCACTTTCCTGGAAAGAATCCCTGTCCCATTGTTCCCAGGTTTGGCAACTTTCTGCTCACTGAGCTTAAGGGAAGAGCCCGTCATCTCAGCTAGCGAAGAGAGAGCCTTAATGAGAGCAATTTCCGAAGGTATTAGCTTCACACCCTTCTCCAGGGACTAGAGGAGAGACAAGAGGGTCACTGCACTTCCAGCACAGACATCCTTAGGCCGGGCGGCATTACTCACCCGAAGTTGAAAGAGCACTGGGGTTGGCATGGAAAGCGCATCTCTGCATTGTTAGGCCTTTATGAGTGGAAAAGGAACAAACAGCAGGCTTAAGTGTATGCTTCTCAGGCCAGACTTCCTGACATCCAGGAATAAACCAGGATCCAGTGCAAGCAAAGCCCACACCCGGCCAGAACAATTGCCTGGCTTCCCTGACCAGAACCAATCCATTCCTGGGTGGGTGATGTCATCAAGGGGCGACCACAGAGAGGATGCTAAATCTGTCTGTCTCCACGGAGACCAAGCCTAGCTCTGCTGACACTTCCTGCCCTCGACTCATTTATTTTTCTTATCTGGCACCAGACGAAAATGTAACATGCCCAGATCTTTCTGAGGAAACGCAGGAAAAGCCACACTAATGATGAAGATGACTTGAGAATTTGCTAACAATAGATCCTGCATGTACAGTAGATAAAGGACTCCCTACTGCTGGGAGCTAGACAAATTGGAGGGAGCTGGGTTCTCGTTCTACCTTTACTTTGCTGCATGTGGCATCTCTTCTCAATAGATGTCTGCCTGGCTGGCTGTAGCACTGTGGAAGCACGTGATTAAACCCCAAACTAACAATATTCCAGCCCACATCCCCACAGCAATTGTCTTTTTGTTCTGGGTTTGTACAGCACCTAGCACAATGGAGTCCTGGTCCATGATGAGGGCTCCTCAGTACTACCGCAACACAAATAATTAATAACAATCATCTTTGTGTTCCAGTAGCATCTGGAGACCCCAGCGGAGATTGGCACTCCATTGTGCTAAGCCCTGCACAAAGACAGTTCCAGCCCTGAAGAGCTTATGATCTAAATAGACAAGGTGGGAGAGAATGTGACTTGGGTAAGGCACACAGCAGATCACTGGTAGAACCAGGAGTAGAAGCCAGGTGCCCTGAGGTTCAACACATTACACTATCACCTAAGCATGCTACCTACCCAGGTATACAGCAAGTAAGTGAACCTAGCCTGGCCCATTCTATGCTGTTCTGGGAGTGGAGTGGAGTGGAGTGGACCTTTCAGAAGTGTATTTGCCCCTACCAGCTCAGCTGGCGTAGAGTACCACTCAAGCAGCACCCTTGCTCTGCCTGAGCCTCCACAGTGTGCTAGATTCTAGAAATCACTACAAATATTTTCCATTCAGCAAGTCAATAAACCACACAGAAAACCCACAGATGGGTTCTGGCTCAATATGCTCTTTGCCTGTCGTCAAGTGTTATACTAATTTATCACCTTTCCCCAGAGAGTAGACCTCGCTGGTGGCCATACGCAGGCCTTAGAATATATTCTGTGTGGCTCTTCCAGACCCGACCTTTCAACTGGAAAAGGGTTTCCTGATTCACCACAGCCAGGGCACATGTTCCAGCCAGCAGGCCTATCAAAGTGACCGTTGTCCTTCTGATGCAGAGAGGAGCCTTAGAAAGTCCAGTGCTACTTGTGGAATACTCACTCACGTCAGGTCTCCCAATGTCCACAAAAAGCCGCAGCACCACGGACCCCAGCAAGTATCCAAAAGACGGGCCGAACACAGCGATGGAAAACAGGATTGCTGAAAGCAAGAGTGGGAAAGCACCAGAGTGAGTAGCAGATTACCGAGTGAGTAATTGCTTTATTGTTGATTTGGCATTTATCTTCCCAAGCGAGGCAGGAAGGGTGTCACAACACACAGGAGAGATAAATCATCTCTTACCAACTGACAGATAATTAATGCCTCCTCTATTACTCAGCTGTTATATGCACTGTTTATTCAACAGACGCATTAGAGATGATATAGGCAGCTGCTATTCAAAAGGATCCCATCCAAACTGTCAAAATCAAGGCCCCACAGATGTATTTCAATGTTGCAATCAATGCTTATTGCTACCTTTGTGCATCACCAGCTACTTATCGCAGTGCTATGGAAATCTGCAGTGACGAGAGCAGTGATGAGCCATCCCTGTGACTGTGCGGTGCTGAGCACTCTCCCCTCCCATTGCAGCCTATAGGAGTGAAGGGCTCTCAGCACTTCGCAGGATCAGTAAGCCAAACAACATGTCAAGGTGGGCAACTAGTCAGGTGTCTGCAGGAACCAGGGCCCCAATCCTCAAAAGTATTTGGGCACCTAACTCATTGAAACCAATGGGAGTTAGGCACTTAAATACCTCAGAGGATCTGTACATAGGTACATTGTGGGTTTATGAGACTGAACACCATGTGCCTTTGGCTTCCATTCAGCAAAACACTTAGCCCCATCCCTTTTCAACAAAGCACTTAAGCACCATCTTAACTTTAAGCACATACTCAAGTCCCATTGATGTCAAGGTGGCTTGAGCACATGGTTAAGTGCTTTGCTGAATTGGGGCTTCCATGCAGCGTAGCTGTGAAGGTATGTGACATAACCACACTGCTTCAAGTGTGCTACTCCTGTAAAGACAATAAGACAGAGTATTTATTCCTAAAACATAACACAAGCAGACTTCTTGAAGAGTAAGGATATTTGGGAAAAGAGTTGCTTTTATTTTATTAATCAGTAGACTGTGGAACACAGAAAGTCACTGAGCCAAAGAACTTAGCACAGTTCAAAAATGGATTGGACATTTCTGTGGGTAACCACGAATATCCAGAGTTATAATGTTAATGCTAACATAAATTCTGTAAGGAATATTAAACCTCATGCTTCAGAGCTGAAGCCAATCTCAAACTATTAGAGGTCAGGATGAGACCTGTGGTGGGGTTGCGGGGGGCAGATTATACCTCATCTTCTACTGTTGCATTCTTACCCCTTCTTCGGAAGCAGCTGGGGCTTGTCACTGTCAGAGATGGTACTGGACTGGATGGGTCTGATGCATTCTGGCTAGTCTATGTTCCTATTATCATGGTATACATCTAAATGGTCAATTTACATTTGATTAAAATAAGAACAATTTTGTCTCTGATGTGAAATATGCCAGACTGTGGAATCCAAAAAGGTACTAAGGGCACTCAGTCCTCTAGTGCTGGCTCCTCCTACAGAGTGAAGTGAAGACGAAGGTTGTTTTGTGCATGCAACTGAGACCTAAATCTGTAACTACTAATTAGGCACATCCCCTTCTGGCCAGCTTTTCAGCAGAGCTCAGCACGTCAGGTGCATGTGGACAAGCTGGGCCCACTGATGGGTACTGAGCACGTGAAAACCTGCCTCTGAGTCTGAGCTCTTTTAAAAATCTGTCCCTTGTAGTTCTTAGCAGGCAGCTGCCATTGAGAGCTCTCGAGGACCCAGCTGCTGCGGCTCCTGCTTCCTACAGGAAACTTTTCTAACCTTTTTGGCAAAATGGGGATGGAGGAAATAAAATCAGAGTATTTAAAAAACCAAGCCCCAAGCCCCTTCCCTTAATTTTGCCCATCCCACCTTCTTTTCTACAGAAAGTTTAGAAAGCAGGGATTGCCGACAAGAACCTATGGGCAACGTTTTCCAGAGTGCCTACATCTACGCTTCATGCCCCCCGCTTCCGCAGCAGCGAGTGTCAGAGTCAGGGTCAACTGATTTGGGCTTGTGAGCTCTGGGGCTGCCTAGGCACCGAGATCCCTCCCCCCTCCAGGTTTCTGAGCCTGGTCTCCAGCCCACGCAGGAAGGTCTGCACTGCTATTCTCAACTCCATGGTGTGCACCCCACAAGCTGATCAGTTGACCCAGACTCAGATATTCGGTGCTGTGTGGGTTTTTTTGCAGTGTAGCTGTACCGTAAGTGACTTAAGCACTTCTGGTCCAACTTACACAGATATTTAGGTACCTAAAGAAGCAGATAGACACCTAGTGGGATTTTCAAACACTTAGGTGCCCAACTCCCATTGGACTTACACTCCAACTGAAATCAATAGGGTTTAGGTGCCTAACCTGCTGAGGCACTTTTGCAAACCCTACTCGGTGCCTACCTGGGTCTTTAGATGACTAAATAGCTTTGTGAATCCAGCCCTTAGGTGTCTAAGTGCCTATGTTATTTCTGAAAATGTGACTTAAGCTTCTAAGTCACCTTGGAAAATGTTACCTCGAGACCCAACTGAGCTCCTGGCTATCATCTCTCAGTGCACTTGGCATGGGGGTGAACTTTCAAACGGCAAAAATAAGGTGAGAGTTCTGAAGCCCCACCTTGTAAACCACAGCCCACATTTCCCTGGGAAAAGAAGAGCATCTGAGGCTGAGAACTCTCCCTTTGCAATAGGTGGCTACCTGCTGGGTAGTAAAAGTGTCTGTTTCAAACCCAAGACACAGACTTTCTGAGTCTGCATTCTGTAATGTTTGTCTCCTTGAAGGCTGTAGTACCTCAGCTCGCAGAATAATACATCAATATTAAATAAGAGTCGGGAGATGGTTTTCCTACCATTTTTCTCCCTTGGATGGGCATAACGATTTCTCAGAGAGCAAACAGAGTAACAAGCTCTGACACATGTGTTTGTGCTGGACACCCACGCAGCCTGAGCCACTGCCAGCTACTCTGATCCTTCCCTTTGTCATGCCCATACGACATAGATAATCATCACAAATGTAAGGAGGGCAGCCAGCTAATAAAGGGAGAGGCAGTGTAGCATTGCAAAGGAGAATCTCATTTAAGGGCCATTAGGTGCTGTGCAGGGGCATGACCAATGGCAGGGCAAAACATCAGAGGTCCGTGCCCTGCACAGCTTCAGGTGGTAATTTTGCTTTGTCTAAACACTGTGGCTGACTTTTCCCTTGTTCAAGTCTGCCACTCTGATTATGGATTTGCATTGTTTTGAGTCTGATTAGTTCCTTGGGGAAGGTGGTCTGAGATGTGCTTCATTATTCTTTTCCATGCTTGGCTTGTGGCTTCTTTATAAAGTACCATGTTTAATGGGTACCCACCTAAATCACTCAGCCACAGGGCTGGTGGAAAAGCAGAGAGCCCACAAATTTAGGCAGAGTCACTCGATGGTTTCTCAGACTTGTGGATAAAAATGTCTAGTACAGCTGACAGTTGGACAATAGATTTCTCCTTTATGGAAAATTTTGATTTTTTGGCAAAATACTGAAAACCAAAATATTTTGATTCAAAATCATGCCACGGTGCCTCGTCTGAATTGTAGTTCGGGTGCTTTATGCTCCCATTTTCGTCTATGGGCTGGGCTTGGTGGCCAGACTGCATCTCCTATAATGCACCATTTTCTCCCTCTTGGTGAGGGGACGCTGTACCTTATAGGAGTCCCTGGCCATGGTACAACATGGCATGTAGTTCAGCCAGAGCACTCAGCCCATAGAGGAGGACGGAAGCATAAAGCACCTGACCTACAAGTTCCAGCAGGCACCATTTTAAATCAAAATATTTTGGTTTTCAGGCGCTTATGTGTTTGATGAAACGTGGCCATTTTCCACAGGAAGCAGACCGGTTTTTGAGGAATATCATTTAGTTGAAACCCCAATTTTCTACTGAAAAGCAGTTTTGATGGAAAATTTTCAGCCAGCCCCAATGTCTGGGCCAAAGATCATCGTCAATAAGTATAAGTGCTAACTCCTGGCTCCCCATTTATCTCCCTGAGGAGCAGCCCATCCTTTCTCCAGTGGGGGAATGTCTCCTGGATGGCCTAGGTTCTGTTCACAGAAGGATTTCAACAAGGCGGTGACTGCTCTACCCGGCAGGGAGTCTGCACCAATGCAGCGAGGAGCAGCAGCCCAGAGTCCAGGCCAGTGGGATCCTGCAGGAATGTATGGCTTCCCTTTGTTGAGGTTTAGTAATATGATTTTGGGGGTTGTTTTTAGGAATTTTTGCATTCTATGTATATGTCCAAAAATTGGGGAGGGGGGGGTTGGGGATTTTCTCTGTTTGTACCTTGCAATGAGAAAATTTTTGGGTACTTCCCAAAATTTGTGTCTAAATACGATCGACTTTAATTTTTATTACATGTATAAAAATGACTTACATTAATTTACACTTTGTATCCTTGTTACTGAACCCATGGTTTAGTGTTTAGTGGCACTCTCTTCCCGGCACTAGGCCTACATTTTTTACCACTCATATATTTACCATAATAAGCAACTAATATTTAATTATTCAAAATATAATAAAAATACATTTATCATTATCTAAAGAGATTTGTCCTTTGCCATCATAGCAATATCTCAATGTAGTCAAAGAGGACAATGTTTGTGAAATCAGGAACTGAAATTTACATTCAAACAATTTGGATTTTTAAATTTTTTAATACAATTTTTAAAATTGCATCCAGAGTTTGTAATGTGGTATTGTTTTAAACCCTGTGTGTGTGTACAATGCTATAGCATGTCCAACAGAAATATGGGAATATGCTGTCACTCAGTGGCTGAGGCAGGTTTAAAGTACCCAGCATGAATTAATGTTAGATACGAGTCAGGGACAAATTGCACTGGGACAGGGCGGAAGTCAACATGAAGTGAGTAGCCATTTCTGGTATTTTTCCGGTATGTAGCATTCACTTTATGGTTTGTTTTGGGGTGTTTTGTGGGTGTTTCTGAGGTAAAATCCTAGCAGCAGAAGCCCTACAGACATGGGACTTACCAATGTACAGTGGAGAATTGTTTGCCTCAGCAAAGTCATCCACATAGGAGATCCCAAAGGGCTGAATGGGAACAGTTCCAATCCCAGCTAACAGCTGGGCAATGACCATCAATGCCCACATGCTGCTTGCCTCTTTGCGGGGGTCCTGGGTGGTGCTGGGACACACAAACATATCCTCCTTGTGACAGAGATAGGCCTTGGTGTGACTCTTGTTACCTGGAATGAGATGGTAGGAGTGTTATAAGCCCGAGCACCCACTCACTGACCATTAGAACTTGCCACTATGACCTCTTACCATCTGGCACCTCATGTCATATTCTGCCCTCAGCACACCCCTGTCTTCTTGGGGTTGCGTAGGTGTTACTGAGGGCATAATTTGAAGTTTTATGAGAGGTGATGATGCATGAGAAGTGAAATCCCAGCTTGACATTCAGGCCCAGGCTGAGTTTACAGGGCTGTTTTTTGTTTTAGTAAACTGAGCAGGTCACACACTCAGAGAGAATAAACTCTACCACACCACATGTACAGTCACCTCATGGAGTAGGACTGCACTGTATGGCTGGTGATAGAAGGTGCACTGCCCACTCAATGCACAGCTGAGGCTGAGCTAACTACCTAGATCCCTCTTTAAACCTGCTTACTGGTCACCCACGCTTGGGTGTTGGTATTCAGCTAGAACTGGGAACGTCCTCGTTTTAATCAGCAGCTGTCATCACCTTAGCATTCATAGAAGTATCATAGAATACCAGGGTTGGAAGGGACCTCAGGAGGTCATCTAGTCCAACCCCCTGCTCAAAGCAGGACCAATCCCCACAATTTTTGCCCCAGATCCCAAATGGCCCCCTCAAGGATTGAACTCACAACCCTGGGTTTAGCAGGCCAATGCTCAAACCACTGAGCTATCCCTTCAAGGCATGATGTTACCTTTAGTTTCAGAGGTCAGGGTAGAAAGGAAATTGAGCGGGGACTGTTCTGATTAGAGACGGAGGAAACAGATGCTCTCCAGTAAGCCACTTTTGGTACAGGAGTAAAGATAACAGTGTTCACCCAGAAGAATTGCTCTAAGAAGTTCCAGTTTAGCTTTGCAAGAGAAGATACTGAATTCCTCGCAGAGGCCAAAGTAAATCTGGTTTCGATCTATCGATCAAAGTGCTTGTTGGTTCCATTTAAAACAGGCCAAATAATTATGGTTATTTGGGAAGGGGAAAATCTGTATCCAGTGTAGAATAAAGGCATCATAAATGAAATGTAATGACTTCAGGACATTTATTCACTAGGTCTTTTCATTCTAGTGTCTTGTTCTCCCCAATTGTTTCAACATTCCCAGCAACTCTTTTTAGTTAAGAAAATGACTCTGTGGCTTTTCTGTAGTTAGAGCAAATTACAACAAAACAGAAACAAATGTTTGTCAAGTGATTATGGATTTTTGCTGGCGTAATAGGACTGTGCATCCCAATAACAGGCTACCACAAAAATCCTTATGCAAGTTCATTAAAAGCAGTTCTTGCATGTGAGTGGTTTGTGCTTTCAGCATGAAGGAGCCTCCTTAACCATTGGAGATTTTTGCTTTAAAGAAAAGCAGAAGCAATACAACCATATTAACCACATGCCAAATATTGTTTTGTAAAATCAAGTTGGTTGCAACTTAATGAGCACAGAAATACACGCCAGACCTATAACATTACTATTTCTCTTCTGTTCAGCATTCTGCACTCCTATTACTTAGAGAAAGCCACCAGACAGATTTTATTTAAAGCTAACTTAACATGTGCACAAGGAAAAAAACCTTGGTATACCCAGCGGCCTCACAATTTAAGAAAAGGTAACTTGTGTGAGACACCCGTAGGATTAAGTCTATTTCATCTGCTTTGGCATTGGAGCTTGAGAACAGTCAGGGCATGGGTACCAGGAAGGGCAACTAAGACTCTGAGCTGAGAAGAAGAGACAGATCTGGCTGGAAAAATTAGGACATGGCTATCATGGCCCATGGAGGGGCTAAATCCATGGGCACTGCTTTGACAATGTCCCCTTATAGCCAGAGCCCCCAGCTGAGGTGAATGAGGTAAAGTCAGCTGGAGTCTTTCCATTCACTTCAGTGCTCTCCTAGCCATTCCTCTTCCCAATTCCCTCCCCAGGGCAATTGTTGTAGCTGCTAAGGCTGCTTTCAAACAACCCAATCGGGAGTCAGCTAGCAACATCTTGTGGATACCTCTGGGTTTTGGGTTGGTTGGTTTTGCCAACCCTCTATCCTGATAGAGATTCGTTCTTACATTTAAAGGGTGGGATTTTCAAAAGGACCAAAGGGTCAGGTTTTTAAAGGTATTTAGATGCTAAAGAGGCATATAGATGTCTAATGGGGTTTTCAAAAGTACCTGGTCATTGGCAGGCGGGATCAAACCTGAGGCCTCTGAAGCTTAGTGCATGAGCCTCTACTGCCTGAGCTAAAAGCCAACTGCCTGTTAGCTGAAGCTGTAGAGTACACTTATTAACTCTCTCTCTAAGTGGTCTCAGTGCCACTAGACGGGACAGAACACCACACCCAGGAGATGTGCGGGTTACATATTTCCCCTAGCTGAGGAAGCACATCCTGAGCTTCAGAGATTTCCCAGTTGAAATCCTGGACAAGCCCCCACTTGTAACACTGACAGACCCTGGTTGTCGGCAGGTGGGATAGAACCTGGGGCCTCTGGAGCTTCGGGCATGAGCCTCTACCACCTGAGCTAAAAGCCAACTGACTGTTAGTTAAGGCTGTAGAGCAAACTCATTAATATCTCTCTCTAAGTCTCGGTGCCACTACATGGGACAGAAACCACAAGCAGGAGGTGTGTGGGTTACACCTACTCCAATGGGAATTAAGTGCCTAGAGCCTTCAAAAAACTCACTAGGCATCTACTTGCCTTTACAATTCTGTCCCTAAGTGATTTAGGAATTTTTCAGAATGCCACCCAAAGCTCTGTGGGGCAGGAACTATAAATTCTTGTGTGTTTGTACAGCACCTAGCACAACAGGGGCCTGATCCTGATTGGGGTATCTGGACCCTATACATTCTAATCATAACAGTAATAATATCTTAACCCACAGAGACCCCAGCACTCCTGACAAGCATTCTGAGCCTTCCAACTAAGCCTGTGGCAATGCAATCTGTAAATGCACATAGCCAGCTCTCAGGGGATTGCCTCTGGAAACCATATTACCACGGGAGCAGGCAGGAGTCTGGCACCAATAGAAGGCTGCCTAGTGCAGCATGGCAAAAGAATCTGTCCACTCTTCTCACTCCCTGAAAACTTATCTCAGAGCTAGTTGATTATTCAGTGCCCTCTAGTTCTGGGTAACTAAAATAACAAATAGTGGCCAACTGAGCTCCCCAGAATACTTCATGGTGCTGCTATGGGAGTTCGCAGGCCTAGGTCTGTAGAGAGGGATGTAACTGTGCCACCTTTTCATATCACCACGTAAGAGCACAATGTGCATGACTGGGCTTGTGCAGCACCACGTCTAAACACAGAATCACAAGGCCTTCTCCATCACTGGGCCCACACCAGTTTGCAGTGCAACAGCATTTGTCACATCGGCGGGGAGCACGGGTAAGGCTCATGCTATACCACAACCCCAGTGCAACAGACACAATTTATGCACCAGCACAGCTTCATGAAACACCTGGAACAACACAGCCCAGGTGCACAAGACACGTTCGATGTGGACACACCTGTCCATGAATGCCACAGCCAGAAGCCACAAGGCTGTGTTTTGGTTCAGGCATTTTGACATATGAGGCTCTAATAAGAAAAGAATCAGAGCAGATGACACCTGTTCCCTGATCCATTTCATTGGTCAATAAAGAACAAATCCTGTTGTAAATCCAATCATTGTTCACAAACTGTCTCGCTGTGGGACCAAGGCTTCTTGGTAAGATCACGGGGACACGTGGCATTTGTCTGACATCCTACCCATGGGCTTGTCTGTTAATCAGCCAACTTTTCAAACAAAAATGTTTGGGCATGGATGGAAGCGAGGCAGCTAGTGAGTGATATGGGTAAGAACCTGTTTTTCGTATTTGGCAGAGGATGAACTCTGGAAAACGTGTAGTTCCATGATGGAGAGTTGTTTTTTAATTATGTTTTACAGAACCTGGGCTTCAGAAGAGCACTGGTCATGGCAACTTGTCCAGAGCAAGGAAGCACGGACCTGGAATAACAAAGCGAGGGGGCTTTGCCTTTAGGTTTCCCTGTCCCCCAGGGGTGAAAGTAACTGAGGACACTTACCGGTACGGGGAGGGGCAGGGGGTCTCCAGCCCCCAGAAGGGGCGGGGCCTTGAGCGGAAGGGTGGGCCGGGGGGGTCCTCCAGCCAGCCCTTCCATGCTGTGTGGCCCAGGGCTCCCATTGATTTAAAGGGCCCGGGGCCCCGGATGCCGCTGCTGCGGTAGTGGCAGCGGCATCCAGAGCCCCGGGCCCTTTTAAATCGCCGGCCCCAGGACAGCTGCTTCCTTTGTCGTCCCCCCAGGCCTGTTGGCGGCTATAGGGTCCTTTGCTGCGGCAGCGCTTTAATGTCCCTGCCCCTTTTGCCTCCCCGGTTACTGGCAGGGCAACCAACGGGGGGAAGGGGCAGCGCTTTAAGGACAGTCCTTTGCCGCGGCAGCCCTTTAATGTTGCTGTGCTCTCCCCCATCCCTACCCCATCGGCGGCCCTGCTGGTAGGGTCCGTACCGGCAGGGCCGCCGACAGGGAAGGCAAAAGGGGCAGGGAGTGCTTTAATGTGGGCTGGGTACGGGCCAGTGCGGGTTCTTACCAGTACGCCGTACCGGCCCGTACCGGCTCACTTTCACCCCTGCTGTCCCCACACCCTTTCAGCTGAGTTAGAATCAGCCAGAGACCCATTATTGTTATTTGTATTCCAGTAGTGCCCAAAGGTCTTCACTGAGATTGAGGTCTATCACACCAGGTGCTGTACAAAGTCAGAGACAGTCCCTGCCTAAGTTTGCCAGTTTTGGTTGGATGTATTCCTGGAGGTTTCATCACATGACATAATCTTTAATTAAAGCTTAATCTTTAATTCCTGGAGACTTCAGGCCAATCCTAGAGGGCTGGCAATCCTATCCCTGCCTCAAATTATTGCAGGAGCGACACGCCCTTTTGGAGGGAGACTTTAGTGAGTCTGAATCCGTCTCCTTTTTTACAGAGAAGAACAAGTAAGTCTAAGGGCTGGGTTTTCAGAATTTCACAATCTTCTTGTGGAAATCTGGCTCCAACTGAGCGTGGTCACTTAAAAGGCTGGCCCTGGAAGGAGGAAGTTACAGATTCCTGATGGGTGCTGCCTCCATCTCTAGCCAGCCTGAAGTGGTACCATCATCAGCAACGTCTTGTCAGGCAGCAAACTGAGACGTTTGCTGGCACATGTAAACCTAGGATTGCTGCTGATATGCCTGAAAATGGGAAAGGGCTTGCAGAAATGGGAAGCCAAGTGGTTTGCATTCAAATTAGAGTTCTGGATGCCTCCCCTGCATTGTTCCAAGATAGTCACCCCAGGAAGGGGCTGAGCACAAAGCACCATCATGCTTCCAGCTCTTCCTGCTTATCAAGAAAATTGCTCTGGCGGCAGGGCACAGGAAGGCTGACACATAACAAGCAGAGATCAGAGTAACAGCCATGTTAGTCTGTATTCACAAAAAGAAAAGGAGTACTTGTGGCACCTCAGAGACTAACCAATTTATTTGAGCATGAGCTTTCGTGAGCTACAGCTCACTTCATCGGATGCACCCTTTTCTTTTAACAAGCAGAGAGACATGCACGCATGTCCATTAACTTCTCTGGGCAGGCAACATATATCCACCATGTAAGATCCCCCATCCTGCAGGGATCCTTTGGCCCTAATCCATCTTGGCATTCACTTAAATAATAAGACATGATAGGCAAGTTATTTCACAGAGATTGCAGCATGCCTCATGGGTGTCAGAAGAAGTGAGGGCAGAGGGCCAAGTGGGGTTAAGCCCTCCAAGAAGTGCAGCGATTGCCCTGAAATGCACTGCCTGAGATGCCTCAGTGTTACTATGCAACTGAATGAATATGTACGTGGAAGTCAAAGCTGTGCATTGGCATGGCTGTGACGAGCTGAGATCCACAGTCCTAAAGCCATAATGTCATTTACGAAGGCTTCTCCTCACTGGAAATGTCTTCACGCCCCCTTGCAGGACAACTGCATTTGTCTTATTGCAGTTATCAGCTCCGGCGGCAGGAATGTTAGCGAAGCAAAGTTCCAGGTATATGTACAGGGGTCACTATATGATGCTGTGTATTTATATTACGGCAGTGCCTAGAGGCCCAAACTGAGATCAGGGCTCCATTGTACTAGGCACTGTACACAGACATAATCCCTGCACCAAACAACTTGCAACCTCAGTAGACAGGGGAAACAGAAGTGAAGCGACTTGTCCCAGGAATCAAACCCAGTTCTCCTGACTCCCACCTCCCCAGCTCACACAGCCACTGTCTAAACAAACATCTGGCGGTAGATCATTTGTTTTCAATAGGTCAGTTAGTCTGTTCCACTGATCCCTGAAAGAAAACAGTAACTAACAACAGTGCTGCTGACTCTAGCAAATGAATCACGCGTCCCGTGATTGCGGAGCCTGCAATGGCAGCTCTTGTGATGACGCATAAAGTTCCTCTGTTCCCACCATTTTCAGGGCTGGTTTGGAAACATGGGCTGCGCTACGAGTGAGAGCTTGTGGGGCGCAGAACAGGGCCCCAGCCTTGCCACATCAGGCCCTATGGGAGTAGAATGGAACAGAGGGTTGTGGTGTTGGGGAAGAGCTACTGCAAGAGCTGGGGGCAAAGAGAAAAAGAAGCGGGGGTGGGAGGGGGAGTCTGGGTAGCAGTTTCTGGATCCCAGAGACAGGGGTGGTTCTGGGGCAGCAGAGAGGAAGGATAAATACAATAAAAATGAAGTATTTTTAGCTATTTCTGCAATTAATTATAATTGGATCCATTTTTGTAAATAAAACTGTCATTATTACTGGACAATTTATCTAGCTGATCACAATTATACAAAGCAGGCAGAAGGATTTAAAAGAAATGTATGAAATGCATTGAATATGAGGAGTAATTGAAAAGAAATAATGTTTAAGGATTATAAATGTAGTCACTGCACTCAAAATGGGTTGTGTAGTTATGTCAAACTGGCTCAAACCCATAAATCTCTCTGGTCTTAAATCTTGTCCAGCTAAGCATCAGTCTTGAAGTCAGTCCACATTGTCCATCCCTCTTAGGGTTTGTACACCGGCCCATCATAATTGAGGTGTGAGGGGAAATACAGCTCATGTTTTCTAAAATAAGGGCATGATTCTTTGTGTCTGACTTATGAATGAGCAGGTGACTGTACCAGAGAATGGGAAGGAAATCTGGGGGGAAGGGTCAGCGAGGAATGGGAGGGAGTGATGGGGGGGACTAGGAGGGCAGAGCTTGATACAGTCATAGGAAATTAATGACATTTTGCCTGTCTTAAAGGTTCAGTGGAGTCTCTACCCAGCAGTCAGGGAGACGGATGCATGTGTGTGTGCAGTAAAGGTTGTCTTTTCAACCCAAAATGACCACACGCACAATGGCAGAGGAGCAGAGGAGGGGAGTTAAACGACAGAGTAAAAGCCATGATTTGGTGGGTTTTTCAAATCTCAGGATTTCTGCTCTCTTGCAGCTGGCAATAAATACTGCAACAAGTTCAGTTCTTTTACACGTTCTGCACCCCCAGTGCACTCCTGGCAAGGAGAAGGAGAGGGTGAGCATCCTGACTTGGAAGGCTCATGCTGCCCCCAGCGGATGTGGTGGGGAGTTACAACCCCCAGGAGGATATCAAGTCACTTACCCGTGTTCATTTGGGCAAACTTGTACCGGTCAGAGAGGAAGTGTGGAAGGGTCACCAGGAAAGCCCCCAGGGCTAGCAGCAGGCCCCCCAAGCCGATAAGCCGGGGGCGGTGAACTCGATTGCCAAAGTAGCTGACGAAGATGATGAGGACAACATTGCCAATCTGGGGTGGGGAGAGCAAAGTGGAGAGAATGTCATGGAGGGCAGGAAGGACACGCATGTCTGAGGGTCTATTCTCCACTGGGGCCTCTGGATGCTACAATCACCAAAATGAAAAGCACAACAGGGCACCATGCACTGAGAGAAAGGGGTGGAGGTCACTACAAAGGCATCATTAGCCACCCTGTCCTGAGACAGCACCTCACAGCATCCCCTCTGACAGGACAGACTTAGGGCATGTCTACACTACGAAGTTAAGTCGACTTAATTTAAGTTGATGTCCACCCACCACAGTAATTAAGTCAGTAAAGCATGTCCACACAACACTCATTGTAACGGTGGAGTGCGTCCTCACTAGCAGTTCTTGCTTCAATGCAGAGAGCAGTGCACCATGGATAGCTACCCCACAGTGCAACTAACAGCAGGTGGGGTTGGGATGGACTTGCAATGCCTCATGGGACCAAGACATTGTTGCAGGGGGGAGCAGAAACATGACTTCAATCTCCCATGATGCAGCTTCCTCCCTTCCTACCCTGATATCAATGGCAAACCCATGTTTTTTCATGCCTTTTTCAAAATCCAGGCTTAGCCGCACGTAGCCCGAGAAGCATGAACCCTGCTCAGCTGTGCACTGTTGTTGTGAGCATTACAAACACCTCACATCTTATCCTGCAGTATTTCCAGAGCTGAGATAGGAGCTGTCATAAATATAAAGGGAAGGGTAACCACCTTTCTGTATACAGAACTATAAAATCCCTCCTGGCCAGAGGCAAAACCCTTTCACTTGTAAAGGGTTAAGAAGCTAAGGTAACCTCGCTGGCACCTGACCAAAATGACCAATGAGGAGACAAGATACTTTCAAAGCTGGAGGGGAGGGGGGGGACAAAGGGTCTGTCTGTATGTGTGATGCTTTTGCCGGGACCAGGTCAGGAATGCTCTTCAGAATTTCTGTTAGGTTAGTAAGTAATCTAGCTAGAAATGTGTTAGATTTTCCTTTGTTTAAATGGCTGGTAAATAAGATGTGCTGAATGGAATGTATATTCCTGTTTTTGTGTCTTTTTGTAACTTAAGGTTTTGCCTAGAGGGATTCTCTATGTTTTGAATCTGATTACCCTGTAAGGTATTTACCGTCCTGATTTTACAGAGATGATTCTTTTACTTTTTCTTTAATTCAAATTCTTCTTTTAAGAACCTGATTGCTTTTTCATTGTTCTCAAGATCCAAGGGTTTGGGTCTTGTGTTCACCTATGCAAATTGGTGAGGATTTTTATCAAGCCTTCTGCAGGAAAGGGGGTGTAGGGCTTGGGGGGATATTTTCGGGGGAAGACGTCTCCGAGTGGGCTCTTTCCCTGTTCTTCGTTTAACACGCTTGGTGGTGGCAGCATCGGGTTCAAGGACAAGGCAAAGTTTGTACCTTGAGGAAGTTTTTAACCTAAGCTGGTAAGAATAAGCTTAGGGGGTCTTTCATGCAGGTCCCCACATCTGCACCCTAGAGTCAGAGTGGGGAAGGAACCTTGACAGGAGCTGCCACATGGAACATTGTGATGTCTTTCAAGCAGCCCTGCTGTAAGCCATAGAATGAAACAATTCCCGGTTGCTGCTGGCAGTCATGCAGCAATTGAACATGGTGGAGCACCATTTCTGGTCCTGGGAAACAAGCACTGACTCATAGAATCATAGAAATTCAGGGTTGGAAGGGACCTCAGGAGGTCATCTAGTTCAACCCCCTGCTCAAAGCAGGACCAATCCCCAACTAAATCATCCCAGCCAGGGCTTTGTCAAGCCTGACCTTAAAAACTTCTAAGGAAGGAGATTCCACCACCTCCCTAGGTAACACATTCCAGTGTTTCACCACCCTCCTAGTGAAAAAGTTTTTCCTAATATCCAAACTAAACTTCCCCCACTGCAACTTGAAACCATCCGCTACCACTGAAAACAGTCTAGATCCATCCTCTTTGGAACCCCCTTTCAGGTAGTTGAAAGCAGCTATCAAATCCCCCCTCATTCTTCTCTTCTGCAGACTGGTGGGATCACATTATTATGCAGCTATGGAATGATGAGCAATGGCTGCAGAACTTTTGAAGGCGGAAGGCCGCTTTCTAGGAATGTTGTGCGGAGCTTTCCCCAACCCTGAAGCACAGCAATACTAAAATGAGACCTGCTCTGACAGTGGAGAGGCAAGTAGCGATTGCTCTGTGGAAGCTTGCAATGCCAAACGGCTACTGGTCAGTGGGGAATCAATCTGGAGTTGGTAGATCCACTATGGGAATTATTGTGATCCACGTTTGCAGGGCCATTAATAGACTTCTCCTAAGAAGGGTAGTGACTCTGGGCAACATGCAGGACATAGTGGCTGGTTTTGCCACAATGGGGTTCCCTAACTCCGGTGGGGCTAGAGATGAAACACATATCCCTATCTTGGCATGAGGCCACCTTGCCAAAGAGTACATACATTGAAAAACTACTTCTCAATGGTGTTGCAAGTGCTGGTGGATCACAGGGGGCATTTCATCGACTTCAACTGGGATGGTCAGGAAAGATGCATGACACACGCATCTTTAGGAACATAGGTCTGTTCAGAAAGCTGCAAGCAGGGACTTTCTTTCCAGATCACAGAATAACCACTGTTGATTTTGAAATGCCAGTAGTGATCCTGGAGACCCAGCCTGCCCCTTGCTCCCATGGCTTATGAAGCTGTACACCAGCCACCTGGACAGCAGTAAGGAGTGGTTCAACAACAGGCTGAGCAACTGCAGAACAGTGGTGGAATGTGCCTTTAATAATAAGAAGAGCCCAGCGAGGAGCTCTGTGTCTCCAGGAGGCTTTGAAAACACAGTTCAGTAATGAGCCATAGTAATGTGCGCCGCTTATCTGTGTTGTGCCTTCCCATACCATCGACGCCGTTGCATTAATTTCCCTGTGCCTCCCCTCCTCCCACAAGGACCCCATTTTTGGAATAAATAAAGAGTATTTCATTCTCCAAATGTTGATTTTTATGGCACAAATATAAAGGAACAGAAAAATAATTTAATCTTGGGCAAGCGGTGGGATAAAATTCAGAGGGAAGAAACCAAGTCAGCTTGCCTGTGAAAGCACAGAAATCTTGACCCTGAAAGGTCTTTGAATGGCCACTTTTTGTTCTTAGTACCCTTCCCTGGTGTTAAGTAGAAGGGATATTGCACCTTCCCTCTCCCCGTCCCCCAGCTCCTGGAAAGTTTTGGGGGAGGGAGATTGGGAATAGGGCAAAGTTTGCAGGCTGTTCTACAGGGGCTGCAGAGGGAATCTAGCCTTGAAACTCAAGCAGATGCCTCAACATGTCCTTCATAATCCGCAGCATCTCATCCTGTGGGGCACACTTTTTATGCTCCTGGGATGTTCTCCTGCTCTCCACGTCCAGTTTTTCAGACAATGAAATCCTCCAGGCTCTGAGCTCCGTGTCAGCTGTCCCAGAGGCGTTATTATCTCGCTGAACATGTCATTACACATTCTCTTTTTCTGTCTTCTAATCTGCGAAAGCCTCTCTGCCAGTGTGGAGGATGCGCTGAAAGCCAAGCTTTCCACTGTAAGGCAAGCAAAGCACAAGGCAACCATTGTCAGTGCATACCCGGGGTCTGGTACAAGGTTGCTATTTAAAAATCCCTCCTTTTATTACACTCAAGTGCAAGCCAGAACATACTCAGAATCTCTAGCTAGTCAATGGACCAGTTTGCTGTTCCAGCCATGGTGAGTATGGCCCAGCAGGATGAATGATGGGCCTTGTGCTGCACCTTTGTGGGAAACTTGCATCAGGAGCACAGGTGGACAATGCCCCTTCCCCTTTGCAACATAGACATTGCTTTGAGACCAGAGACCAGCCTTAAGCCTCCCAAATTGCTACCTGTCTGAGGCGATACCGGGGAAGGGGATGGCCATGAGAGAACACAGAAAGCCCACTCCCCCTTCCCTTAACACTGCTGGTAGCGGTTGCCCTGGGTTTGCAGATTCTGAGGTCAACACCAATCCCTGCCCCAAACCACAGGCATGTTAGGGACACCATGGCTGAGGGACGTGGAAATCACCATGGGCAGGGAATCACATGCTTTATTGTTTGCGGTATGAGCACTTGTAAGGAAAACTTCCACTGTCTCCTCTACGTGACCCTATGTGATATCAGTCTCCTGAGGATAACAGAGGCAGCAAGGGAGCAGATGTTGCAAGCACCTAGGTTCAGACCTGGTCCTTATGCTGCTATGCTGTGTTCCACAATGGTACCAGCAGGTTAATACTAGAGTGGTGTGGGAAAGTGTCCTACCGTGGTGGAAGAAATAAGGCAGCCTTTCCCAGAAACCTGCTGCAAAGGATTACAGAGTACTTCCATGAAAGTTTCCTGGGGATCTCCATAGAGGATTCCTGGGCCACCCCTGTGCACATAAACAGTCTTTTCCAGGGGGGCACCTTCTGCATAGCTGGAGTGGCCACTGGGAAGCAAATTCCCACTGCACCTAATTTTTTCTTCAGATTAAACATAAAATATAAAAACATGCAACCCCTACAGTTTGATTGGAATTGCATACTCACCAAAGGTTCCTTCCCTGGCATCACACTTGGCCACCATGCTGTCCTGCGACTGGCTGAACTGCTCCGGCATTAAAAATAGCTCTTGGCTCTCAGGGAGAATGGTCCCTCACTCGCCTGTCTCCCATTCTCCTCCTCCTCATCCAGAATGTCCTCCTTGTTGTTGTCTGAGGTGGCCCAGGACTCAGACTCCCGGGAGGTATCCAAACTGGGTTTGGGGGGTAGTGATGGGGTCACTGCCAAGAATCACATGCAGCTTATTGTAGAAGCAGCATGTCTGTAGTGCAGAACCAGAATGACTGTTCACTTCCCTTGTCTTCTAGTATGCCTCCCTTGTCTTCTGGTATGCCTCCCTTGTCTTCTGGTTCTTTGATTTTCATGCAAAACTACTGTACGTCCCTGCTGTAGCCCTTCTCCCACATGCCCTGCACGATCTTTCCATAGATGTCT